CGGCCCAAATCATTTCCAGGCCATGGCTGTTGGACAGCAACCTCCCTGGCATATGGGAAGGTGCCAGAGAGAGTTTGCAGAGGGGGTTAGTGGTACAGAGATGTTCCTGAAGAATTTTCCCTCCTCTTCATATCTGCCTCTACCCTAAAAAGCCACAGACAGCGACCAGCAAGGGAGAACCTCCCTCCCAGCACACCAGTTACTCCCATCCTCCCCATTCAGTCAGGCCCAGAGAAAGCATTTCAGCTCCCCAGTGCTCATGCTCCAGCTGCAAGATCTATCAAGTGGAACCAGTCCCACGCTGCCATCTCCCACTGCCCGAGCACTGGGATGCAGACTGGTTCGCTGTGGGTGACTGCTGGACAGCCACCCATGGCAGCGGGAGCAGCTCTCCCCCTGCCCAGCCTTTCCCTCGCAGGCTCTTTGCTCTCTGAAGCAGCAACAAGACCCTGGATGTGGTTCAGACCCTCCGAGCCTGTGTCAGAGCCCTGCCCGCCTGCTCGGGGCTTTGTCCATCTCCTCCCGGCTCCGGGGGCTCCGTGTGAGCCGGGGCAGCTGCCCCACCCCGTGGGCTGGAGCCCCCACGTCCCTTTGGCCGCGGGAGGCCAAAGACCCCATTAACACCTCCGCACCTCCGGCTCGTGTGACAGCGCCCGGCGCGGAGGGAGCCGCGCTCCGCCGCCAGCCCGACTTGAGAAAAATCCTAATTATCCGCCAGTTACCAGCTGGCTGGCGTGGCGAGGGGCTGCGGCGAGAAATCCGCCGCGATGGGCTGCGGCTGCAGCGTGTCCGGGCAGCGCCGGGCAGCGGGGCCGCGCTGCCGCCGGGGCCGGGCAGGATGCCGGCGTGCCCCGTCTTGCCGCTCCGCAGCTCCCGGCGCTCAGCCTGCCAGAGGGGGGCTTCCACCCTTATTTTCGGCATCTGGCCGTTGCTTTCTGCGATAAGAAGGCCATTAAAAATGAAAAGGGAGGTGGCAGCGGCCCGGAGGGCTTCCCACAGCATGGGCTGGTGCGGCTGCTGCCGTGCAGAGCTGGTCAGAGCTCAGCCCGTGGGTCAGGACACCGCTGGCACCCGCCGCTGCCCAGAGTCCCTCTGCGAGGACAGAGATGGGTAATGTCAGTCCCAAGGCTTCACCCTTCTCCATTCACCTCTTTTCTAAAATCAGAAAATTTGCATTTTGAAGCAAGAGAGACCAGCTGATGACGTTCTGGTCCCATTGCCCACACTGCTACCCTCAGACCCTTTCCTCCTCCTCCTGCATTGAGTCAAGGCTGTCTGTTAAAGCATATCTTATCTCTGGAGAGATATGCAGACTCCTCATTTGAATCCTTCAGGAGTTGGGAGAATCCACCACATTCCTTGGTAAATTGTTCCTATGGTTAATTATCCTCACTGCTAAAAAAAAAAAAATATACCTCCTTGTTTCTAGTCTGAATTTGCCTGGCTTCAGCTTCCAAGTGCTGGATCTCATCATGTATTTTGCTATTAGATTAAAGAGCTGGCTGCTATCAGGAACCACCTCCTGGGCACACCACGACTGAGCCCCCTTGCTCCTCTTGGGGGGAACTTCCATGCAGAACGTTTCTGTGGTATTGCTCTACAAGGCATCCATTCCAAACTGTTCATTTTCTTCACATCTCCCTCCCAGGCCATGTCTGTTTTGTCAATAGAGGGTTTGAAGGGTGGGCAGGAGCACCATGTGCGGACAGGGCTTGGGGACACCCTTGCCCAGGTGACACTGATTTGCCCAGCCCTGCAGAGCAAGTGCTTGTCCAGCACTCTATCGGGGCCAGCTCACCTGGTCCTTAGTAGCCTCCTCTCCTCAGTGCGGGAGAATGGGTAATGCCACACCTCCCAGAGGGATTCAAGTCAAAACCCTTCAAAACCAGGAGGCCATTGGGCTACATGCTTCCATCAGCCAAAGCTCGTGACTATATCAAAAAATGATGCCAGATCTTTTGACAAGATGACTCACACCAACCATTTGTTTTGGCACTGCCTGCTCACCAGCTGTCCTTCCCTCTGTGGCCAGATCGTCCATGATTCAACCCCAGATTGCAGGAGACCTTCAGCTGAGACTCCTTCCAGTGCAGCAGAACCCCTCACTGCTCCAAAATGCTGCCCAGCATGTTGGCTCTGCTGAGCTTGGTGGCAAGTGACCGACCATCCTGGCAGGAATTATTGGGTGCAGCAAAGCTCAGCGTACCCCAAAGCCACGAGGCTTCCCCAGGAGGAACAGCCTGGGTTGGTTCTTCCCAAGTGCTGTCCCAAAGCATGTGTGCCATGCAGAGCACCAGGATGGTTGGTGCTGCTGTGCTTGCTGTGGCCATCACTGCTCTGTCAGATGTCCCTTTCTGTCCCCAGCCCTACTGACCAGACATTTACCTCCCCTTCCCAAGTGCCTGCATCTCCCAATGGCTTTTCCTTACCTTAGGTATGTGTTCCCAGCTCCTCTGGAGTCTCACACAGTTATTTGTGAGTTCACTGACAACACAGAACACATTTGTTTTGCTGAGCTCCTTTCCCCATTAAACCAGGGCGGACTCTCAGGTGTGGCAGTGGCACTGCAGAGCTCACGGCGAGTTGGAGGAAGGCAGCAGCCTCATCTTCCAGCACTGACCATGCCTGTGACAGCCCCAGGCAGGAGGACACCAGGAGGACAGGGAGTGACACCAGCTGTCACTGCAGCAGGACCATTCCTCATGTGGCACCTTGGCACCCACCTTGGCAATCCTGAAGGAATCACTGCTTCAAATAAAACATCCCCTGTGCTCTCCAGGGTGCCAGGTGCTGCCAACCCAGTGCTGCTCTCCACAGGGCTCAGCTCCAGTGCAGGAGGACATTGGCCCTGCAGCTAGCCTGCTCTGGGGATGCAGCCACTGCAGCATTGTGCCTCAGAGGGCCACACACCTCTGACTGTCTTCCCAAGAGTTAAAGACACTTCAGGCATTCAAATCCTCACTCTGGACCCTTCCCAGGACCTCTCCTTGAAGCCGTGGCTGATGGATGCATCCTCCACAGATGCTCCCAGCCACCCCTGGAATGAGCCTGTTCTCCAGGCAGGTCCCGGGTCCAGCTGCTCTCTCAAGGCTGGGAGGGCATCGTGTGGCACTGCCTGCCCTGAACTCCCACAAAGGCTTGGGGAAAACAGCCACATCCTGTCCATCCTGTCCATCCTGTCCTGGTGAGCCGAGCTCCCAGTGGAACACAGCTACAGTCAGCACAGGGTGATGTGAGACAGCCTGAGCTCCCTTTGGTTTGAATTCTGGAAGGATCCCGGGGAAGGGGATGGCTTCCAGGAGGGGAGCCCTGCTGCGCTGTGACTGCTCCACCCCAAAGCCATCTCACAGCACTCCCAGCTGGGGACAGTGGCAGCCGAGCATCGGACACGTTCTGGCCCCCACCCCTACGTGCCGGGACAAGACACGCTGCCTCGTTTCGCTTTCCATTCGGACGCTTTAGGGAATGCTCCGGTCCCTGGGCAGCTTTACCTGTGGCTGACAGGAGTTATCCCCCAGCAGGGAGGGACAGGAGTGGGCTGGAATCACATCCTGCCCAGGACCTCCAGTTCACTCACTTCCGAATGAAATGCCGCAAGGAAAGACAGTGGAAGGAGTGGAGCCTTAACCACGCCTGCGAGGGCAGGGCGCTTCACCCCGGTCCGTGTGAAGCAGCAGCCGCCGCCCGCGGGGAAGCCGCTGGACTGCACCAGCCGGGAATTCGGCTGCTTTCAAACGCCCGATCGCTGCCTGCAGACGGGAATTCGGCTGCTGCTTTCCCACTGCACGCACCCATTGGCTTCGGCAGGACACAGCCCCAGCGCTGCGGCCGCTGCCGGAGCCCGTCCGCTCCCGCATCCTCCCCAGGATAACCGGGAGCATCCCCTCGGCCGCTGCAGGGGTGTCCCTGCACGGCAGCATCCGAGGATGCTTTCTGTCTCCCGCAGGAGGGACTGTCTTGGCAATTAAACACGTCACCTTCCGCAAACAAAGGTCATTACCACACCCGGGGCTTAAATATCGCTGGGCTGCTCTGCCCGTTCCATGACAATGTCAAACCGCAGCCCCGGAGGAAACTCTGCTGCTCCTGCGGGGTGTCAGGCGTGACATCCCAACCTTCCTGCTCTGCCAGTGCTTCCCGGAGGAGAAAACCCGCCCGGCTCAAGCATGGAGAGCTGCCCTCCCGGCAGAGGTACCCGCTGCGGGATTGACACTCGTGCCACCGGCCACAAGTGCTGGTTCTCCTTAAAAACGCCGCGCTGAGCCAGCAGCCGGGCTGCCAATTCAGGACCTTTTGCCACAAAAAGCAGAGTACCTCCCGTGCGCTCTGCCCGGCCCCTGGGTCCCTGCTCGCAGAGCTCTCCCGTGCCGGGCAGCAGGAGGGCGGTCGGAGCAGCCGGGGACCAAAGCTGCATCCCGGCTCCCGAGCGGACAGCAGGGGCTGTGCAGCCATCCCTCTGGGCATCAAACCCTCCTGCGCTTAAAATCCCGCTCTGTTATTTGCTGTGACTTATAGGCACTAAGTTACCGCTGTATTACGGGAGGGAGACGGACTGTAAATGACATTTACAGCACAGCTGGAAACGGTGCCGGCAGACACCGGCAAAAGTCCCTCTCGCCCGCGGCCTCGCCTCTGACAGCGCCCGCTGGCAAATACGCCGGGAAGCACCGTGAGAACAAGGCAGGTACTTCCTCAGGACATTTCTTTTCAGAGGATATTTATCCACAATTTAGGGAATCGCCACGAGAGGAGTGACATCCCAGCCGCTGTGCTTCGCACCCCTTTGGGAGAAACCCCCTGGAAAGCCAGCACGGATGTTTCCAGCACGCTTTCCTTCCCAGGGCCACCACCTGTGCCAGTGAAGTCGCCCTCGGTGGCGGCTGCATCCCGCAGCTGCCCCGTGCCAGCCTCCCTGGCCTCCCCACCTCGGGTGTTGGCGGTGAGTTCGCGCTGGGCCGTGCCGAGCATCTCCCCAGCCAAGGTAGAAGAACTCAACTTACTGTCCAGGTGGCTGACTTGGCGGTGCTGGACTGCTGGAAGGTCACCTCGAAGTGGTGGGGACCAGGGTAGTCGGTGTTGGAGGGGATGACGGGGGCCGGGGACATGGCGTCGAAGGTAGAGCTGGGCTGCGAGTAGGGCGAGTGCGTTGGGACATTGGAGGTGTGCTCGGAGCTGTAGGGGCTGGTGGAGGCTGCTCTGCTGCCGATGCTCTGATCCATGCTGTTGTTCAGCAAATTGAACTGGGACTGGAGGAAGGGAAAAGGGGAGGAGGGAAAAAAGAAAACACCAGCCAGTTTAGAGACAGGGAAACCTCAGCCACCTTTCTCCAGGGCTGGGGTGTCCTGTTACAGCCTCCTTAAAGGGCCAGCGTGCAGGAGGGGAGTCAAAAGAGCTGGTCTGGGTGGCTCGGGTTTTCTGACAGGTCACCACTTGCGGGAGGGTTGAAATCCTTGTGCTTAAATCACCCCCCTCGAACTGCTCCATCCTCGCTGGAGGCAGCGAGGTGCCACAGTCCCGGGTTTCTAGAGCACCTGCCTCGGGAAAGCCACGCTTCTGACAGCGGGGAGAGGGCAGGGATGTCGCGGGGTTTGCTCAGGTGTGGGAAATGCTCCGCTGTAGGTGGGCAGTGACAGCTCTGTCCTGCACGCAGGGCTCTGCTCCCCGCTGTCCCTTCCAGCAGCCAGAGTGTCACAGCTCGGGGAAGCCACCCTGCCAAGGTGAGCAGCAGTCCCGACATCGCTCCATCGCGACATCGCTCCATCGCGACATCGCTCCATCGCTCCATCGCGACCGAGCGGCTGTCCCGTTTTCCAGCCTCTTTGCCAGGCTGTCCCTCCTGTGTTCACTGCTCACGGACACACACCCCACACCACTCGCGGGCTTCTCTGCTCCAGCCAGCCCCGAGCAGTGGTTTGTAGCTGGTTTCCCAGTGGGATATCTGCTCCCAGTGCCTGCTGCAGCTCTAATTTGGGGGAAACCTCAAACCTACAAAGCACACGGCTGCGATGCAGAGTGCTGCAGCAAAGTCACAGGGCAAATGGATCCGCTTAGGGAGATCCTGGCTCTTATTCCAGACTCGTTTGACCAAAGCATGACTTTTTACAATTTTTTCCTTATTCCTTCTCTGACCAATTACTGTCAGATTATTCCAATAAGAGCTGGTAGCTCCTTTGCCCACAGGCACAGCCCAAGCACAGCGACATTCCCAAGAGCCGTGTGGCTAAAACCATCTTAGTATTTCATTAGAAAATCAGATTCAAATACAGCTGTTTCTCAGAGCAAGTGGGATGGGGTTTTCCCCCAGAAATATGCAATTCCTGAATTGCTCAGGGGTTGCTCTCACCCTGCAGCCCCAGAGGCAGTGGCAGTGCTGGTGACCATGCTCAGTGCTGGGTGCACTGCTGTGTGTCATTGCTCCCAGCATTGGGACTTCCCTCATGCCTGGCAGGGACTGTCCCTGTCCCCAGCACCCACTGGGGCAGCTCTGGGAAGACAAGAGCTGTGGAGGCAGCCATGGGCACAGCCAGCAGGCTCAGCCTTCTCCAAAGGGCTGCAAGGCTCACGGCTCAGGAATCAGGAAACGTGTTTTAACTTGGGATCCCAACCTCACCCAACCCTCTTCCATGTGGAATGGTTTAAAGGCAATCATCCTTCTCCAGGGAAGTTCTCCTGTTGCCTGCATCTCTCACAAGGTCGTTGGAGCCTGTGACTAAGTAGAGGAATGCTGAACAAGATCTGGCTTGCTTTCACGCATCCAGCTATTTTCTCCCCTAAAATATGTGCCCAAATCCCTCTATTCCTCCTCACCACTCTATAAATAGCCCAGCCAAAGACAAGCCAAGCTTTCCTTAATCCAGGCTTTACCTGGAGAAAAACTTATGAGAAACCCTGGCAAAACAGGCACATTAGGAAAGCTCTTGCCATCCAACTGGGAAATGCAGCTGCGGCAGGGACTGCGGGCAGGGCAGGGCCAGGGATGTGGCACAGGAAAAGCTGAGGGATCAACCAGGAGAACAGCAGCAAGGGAAAAGGGATTGCTGCTGGATGGGGCTGCTCACAGCCCAGCTGATCCAGGAGTATCAGGGCTGAGCTGTTTTGCTCCCATGCTGAGATAGGACCGTTCACAGCTGAAGCCTGCGGCTGTGAATAGGGAATGGGGACCCACCACAGAACGGAGCATCCTGAGCTCCATGTGGGAGAAAACCTTCCCTCAGGAAGGATGGTGAGCTATGAGACCCAGGGTATCACCTCTGCCAGCCAGGCTGGCTGCTCCAAGCACAAAGCAAGAGGCAGCACCCTGAGTGCCCAGACTTTGGGAATCTGCTGGCAGGCAGACCCAGAGTCAGGTGTGTGGGCAAAACCACAGACTTGCTGTTCAAAATTGATGAAATTGTGGAAACATTCCCCTAAAAGACGAATCGAAGGCAGGAGTGTTTGTGTGTATGTGTAAATATGTACATACACACACAGGGATAATTATTCACACAACTGCAGCAACGACCTCCCATGGAACAGCCCCAACAATGGGATACACGGGCTTGGTACCAACACACTTAAGGTAAAACCAGGAATGAAGGGATTTCCTTCAATCTCCAGCTCCCTCTGTGCTTGTGCTGGATGGTTCCGAATGCCGGGGACAGACACAAACCCCTTTTCCCTAAAGAAACAACCTCAGCTCTTGAGGACAGGGCTGGAAATGAATTACCTGCAGCACAGGTGTAGCTTCACCTTCCCTGCCCTCCCAGGGATTCCCACCAGGGAGAAGTCTGCCTGGGGAGGCAGGTGTGTGGTGTGGGATGACAAAGTGGTGCTGGTGGTGTCCAGCACCTCCAGGTATTCCTTGGATGGATGCTCTGGCTGACACCCGTCCCCCCTGCGCGCACACAGCTAAGGGACCCTGCACTCCCGACTTCTGAGCTTTAAATCACACCTGGGGCTCTGCAAGCAGCAGATGGGGCAAAGCAAGAGGAGCAGTGACTGCCGAGGCTGCAGCACCCTGCACCAACACGAGCAGGGCTGCACCAGCTCCAGGTCAGGGACAGACATGCACTGGGACAGCCCCCGGAGCATCCTGGGCAGCAGCACCAGGCTGGGCAGGCAGAGCCCCAGCAGTGGAGGATAATTCTAAGAGCATCAAAGCAAAGCAGCACCTACCGTGGTGTAATGCTGCATCGGGTCGCTGATGTAGAGCATTTTAGTTGTCTCGGGGTTCACGGAGCCTGGGGAAGCCTCCTGCCCCGGGAGTCATGGGGTCGGGGCGGCGGCCGGGGTGGGAGGAAGGAGCGCGGAGCGGGGCCGGGCGGGCAGCGCCAGGGATGCCGCGCTGGCCACCCGTGTGCCGCCGTCTGTTGGCTTCCCTGCTTTTTTCATCTCCCTTAGTTCTGTCAACTCGCTGCATCCAACAACAAAACGGGGCCCACCCCTTCTGTCCCTCATGACTATTCATTAAAGCACAGGGCAGGCCCCAGCTTGCCCAGTGATGGACTGGGCGATACCAACCATTCCCACTGCAGGGAGAGCAGGGGTCCAGCTCCACCACCAAACCTGCCCGGATCCCGCTCCCAAAAGCTTCTTCCAGCCACACAGGGCTGGAGATCTGCTGGGCTGGCACCTGTCACCAGCACACTGAGGTACCTAGCCTTGCACTGAGCAGGCAGGGCAGTGACTCTGCGAGAGCTCCGTGTCTGGGAGATCTGGAGTTGTCTTTATCTGGATGGATGGATGGATGGATGGATGGATGGATGGATGGATGGATGATGGATGGATGGATGGATGGATGGATGGATGGATGGATGGATGATGGATGGATGGATGGATGGATGNTGGATGGATGGATGGATGATGGATGGATGGATGGATGGATGGATGGATGGATGGATGGATGATGGATGGATGGATGGATGGATGGATGGATGGATGGATGGGTATCTAGAGGGATAGACAGGAATAGTCAGGGATAGATGCCTGACAGAGCATTGGGGTGACCCGCTCCATGCCACCGAGCATCAGCACCACTCTGGCACCAACGTGTGCCAAGAACAGCGGGAATCAGCACAGACTGAATGGTTCCTCCACAGCCTCTCCCCTCTCTTGCCTTCCCCTCAGGCCGCTGGCATCCCCTTAGCAGAGCACTTCTTGTCCTGCACCCCAGGCTGCTCCAGCCCTGCGGGCTCAGCTTTGGCTACAGCGGGAGCAAGGGGAAGGCGAGGCTTGCCCAGCGAGGGGCACAGCCACAATTAGCAGCGCTCTGCCCGGCTCCTGCCCGCTGTGAAAGGCCGGCGAAAGGAGGGAAAGCGAGCGGAAAGCGAGGGAAAAGGGGCTGGGGGAGGGGAGGCAAGCTGTCAGCGAGGGAAACAGTGACTTTCTGGAGGGAAACAGCGACTTTCTGGAGGGAAACAGCGATTTTCCAGAGGGAAACAGCGTCTCCTCGCAGGGAGATGCAGCCAACAGCCAGGGAGCCCCAGGGATGCTCCCGGGCACCACGGAACACACACAAGCAGAGCAGCCGGGATGCTTTTCCAAGACTTTGTCTCAGAGAGGAGCAAAGGTGTGTGGCAGGGAGGGCAGCGGCATGGACCTGGGGCTGCGGTGGGAGCAGAGCTGTGAGCACGGCGTGCTCCTCCAGCAGCTCTGCCTCCGCAGCAGCTCACAAATGGCTTTTACTCCACAGGGTTTGTCCCGGAGTGAGTGACACTGTGCTGCTGTCCTGTGCTCCCGAAAGCCCCAGGGCCCTGCTGCTGCCTGCACTGATGCTACCTAACGAGAAATAGCCAGGTTCACTGACCCTTGCGCCATTGATTAACCCTGCACCAGTGCCAGCAAGGCTGGTTTATGAACCAGCAAACACCTCAGTGCCTCCCCCAGGGCCCCCAGCCCACCCTTGTGGGGAAATCAAATGTGTGCCTGGTTCAGATCCCCATCCCTGCTGCCTGAGCACACTCACCATCACCGAGTCAGTCATGCCTCTCATCTGGAACACGTCCATCGTGACCTCGGGGCGGTCGGAGACCTCACTGCTGCCGCTGGGGTTGGCTGGAGGGAGGTCGAAGTAGGTGCTGTCTGGTTCCCTGAGCAGAGGGTGAGGGCACAGTCATCTCCCAGCTCTCCAACTCAGCCTGTGCCACCACCACCACCCACTAGCAACTCGAAGTCCCCTCAAACCTTGTCCCTTTCCCAACTCTTTCCCCCATCCTCTGCTTTTATTTCCACCTGGCAGAGCAGTAGATGTAGGAAATGCTGCATCCACCCAGCTACCCCAGCATGTCTGTCACCTTGGGATGTCTTTACGTGAGAGGACCAAGGGAGGAAGAAGATTAAATGAAGCACAATCCTTCTCCCTTGCTGGATTAGAGCATGAGGCTCTAAGGCCAGAAGACTTGCAAACATCTTGGTGGGGCTGGAAGATATTTAATTTTGGATTTAAGGGTCCCAGCTTGAGGGGAGCTCTGCTCTGGCCCTGACACTGTCTCCATGCTGCCCTGGAGCATTGCAGCTAGGAAGGAGCTACCCACGAGACAGACATGACAAACAGAATGTCCTGAGCAGAGTCTGAAACCAGGGAGCAAAATCTGCCAGGTGGCAAAGGCGTCTGTGGAAAGCAGAGGATGCAAAGGGAAATTTGTCTCTGTCAAAGAGCCACTGCTGCCTGCAAACACCCCAATGGGGAATGATCACACCCCACTTACAGCGTGCTCCAGAGGTGCTCGAACGTGGGGCCTTCATCAGCTGGGGATGACTGGGACATCTTCACAGTGGGGGAGTCCGACAGAGGATAAATCACTCTGGGGGCAAAGGGAAACAGCAGGGTTAGCACTGCCAGTGTGCCGTGCCCTGCCATGCTGTGCCATGCTGTGCTGTGCTGTGCCGTGCCATGCCATGCTGTGCCATGCTGTGCTGCGTCATGCCATGCCATGCCATGCTGTGCCATGCTGTGCTGCGTCATGCCATGCCATGCCATGCTGTGCCATGCTGTGCCATCTCACTCCAGCAAAGCAGCTGTCCAAGGAATCCCTCAATCCCAGCTCCCTTCCAGCAGCACAGCAGGGACCAGAGAACCCCAGAGCCCACGGCAGGGGACACACAGGTCAGGGACTCCAGGGTCTCTTGTGGGGGACACACAAGACCAGAGCCCCCCTGTAGTATCATGGGGACACTGAGGACCAGAGACCATCAGAGCCATCATGGGGACACACAGGACCAAAATCCCCCAGAACCATTGTGGGGGACACAGGAGCAGAGCCCATCATGAGGAACACTGAGGACCAGAGACCCCCAGAAACATCATGGGGACACTGAGGACCAGAGACCACCAGAACCATCAGGAGAGGGACACTGAGGACCAGAGACCCCCAGAACCATCATGAGAGGGACACTGAGGACCAGAGCCCTCCAGAACCATCATGCTGGGGACACTGAGGACCAGAGAACCCCAGAACCATCATGAGAGGGACACTGAGGACCAGAGACCCCCAGAACCATCATGGTGGGGATACTGAGGACCAGAGACCCTCAGAACCATCAGGAGGAACCACAGCCCTGGACAGCCCCGTGGCCCATGGTGGGGCAGTGCCCAGAGCCCCAGCAGCACAGGCCAGGGCAGCGGGCAGGGGTGAACCTGATTTTCAGCCAAAGCCTCCTCGATGCTGCTGCACTGTCACAACCAGAGCCACGCTCAGTCCTGCCCGTTCCCCTTGTCCCTGCAGGAGGATTCCTGGAGGAAAGCAGCCCGGCCCAGCTCTCCCTGCGTGCCCAGAGCCTCTCAGACCCAGCAGCGGGAGCCGGAAGCTTCACGGAGCCATCTTGAGCCTCGTGCTGCCTTCCCCTGTGGGCAACCATCATCCTCCTCCCTCACCCCCTCCCTGCAAGCAGCAGGACATCCTCCCTGCCCTGCCTGGCACCCCCAGGCACATCTGGCTGTCCTTTTTACCCACTGCTGGTTGAGCATCCCATCTCAGCTGGGACATGTCATAGTGAGAGCGCGACATTTCCTGCCTTTTGGGCGGCAGGGAGGGAGGGAGGGCAGCTGCTTTCGGATCAGGGATGCTCGGGTGGCCCTTCTGACTCAGCTGGGCACCGGCTGGCTGCAGGGAGGAGTTAAAATGAAAGCAGGGAACTTTCCCTGTCGGTAGATCCTGTGAGCTGCTTTCCACAAAACACAGCATCAGCAGCCACCCTGTCTGCAGGAATCCCCATGGCACAGGAGGGCACAGGAGGGTACAAGTGGGTACAGGTGGGCACAGGAGGGCACAGGAGGGCACAAGTGGGTACAGGTGGGCACAGGAGGGCACAGGAGGGCTCGTTCCATGTCAGGGAACATGTCAGGGACAGCTAACAGCAGAGTCTGGTGTCCTCCCATCCCTCCTCATCCCACGTGTGACACAGAGAGAAACAAAAGGACCCACAAAAGGGCAGCTCTGGGAGGAAGAAAAGCCTAGAAGAGATGCAGGTGACAGAAGAGGACTGCTGGCGCCCTTACCCTTCTTCCATGCTGCTTTCCCTGGCCCAGAGCAGCTAAAGGAAGTAGCCAGGCCTTTTCCTCCCGAGGAGAAAGCACCTCTGCACCGCCCCGGCTGTGCGGTCATCACGGGTGACACCAGCTCTAACCACGTGGCTGCTCTCGTTTTCAAAAGCAAAGAAATCTGACTATTTTAAGGGCGTTTTGGAAGTTCCCTTTCACTCTTTCAAAGCACAGCGTGGGTGTGCAAAGCCAGGCCAGCGTCTTCTTGTGTTTGGGCTCTGAGCTGAGGGGTACCAGGGGAAGCTGGGGGATGCTGTGACAGCACATCCCTGCTGCTCTGCTCCCTGCTCCTCCTGGGCAAGCACCTCTGCAGCAACAGTGACAGTCCAGCACTAGGCACCTGCCTTGGCAAAGAATTTACCGACCAATTTACCTACAAAAAGGGTTCCCCAGAATCAGTCTGGTGCTGATCTAATTCCCTCTGAAAGGAGGTGCCATGTGGAGCCCTGTCTCAGGGAATGCTGGAGGAGTCCACATTTGGGAATCTGGAAAAGCACCGTGATGGTGAAGTCCTGCAGAAGGAAAAGTCACCCTGTGGGAAGCAGTGGGAGCTTTGTGCAACATCAAAATCAGAGGTAAATTGGGAAGAGCTTTAGAGCCTAATTCTGTATTTCTCTGGAAGTGCTCCTGGTGGCTTGGATACAATCCCTGTGCCCAAGGCTGAGCAAATGGCACCTGGAGCTGGGTTCAGGAGCAGCCACAGCCCAGCTCAGCTCCCTGCTATCACTCCCCACTCCAGAGGAAGACCTGGGGGTTTCATCCTGACTTCCTCCAGCAAGAGTTCTCCAGCCAGACTCCCCCAGGAGGATTATTACTGTTATAAACTTATTATAAACTTCTTATTAAAGTGGGGATCTCCTCTCCCAGGGAAAGGGTCCAGCAAGGAATTCTCCATCCCTTTCGCCTCAATGGAGCAGGGAGGCAAGTGGGGGATGCTTGGCACGGCTGGCACGGCTCAGAGGGGACCTGCACTGGATTTCTTGCAGCTTTCTAAGGGAAAAAAAAACCCAAAACGTGCAAACCAGGGGGTCGGTGCTGGGATCCAGGGCTGCCAGTGGGATTTGCCGGCGTTCACTGGGAGAGCTGCGCTCCGGCGTTCCCTGGATTGCTGCTTCCCTCTGTTGCTAGTCAGGGCATTGCAGGGAGGCTGCAGACGGGAAAAGAGCCCGGCAGCGGGGCAAAAACCTGCCAAGAGAGGATCCCCCCATCTCTGCTCCCCGCGGGACCCGGCTCAGCCCGCGGCGGGGCTGCCACCCCCGGGCACGGCACCGGCTCCGGTCCCCGCTGCCCCGGGAAGCTTCCCTGGGAACGGCCGCCGGAATCCTCCCCAAAGATTAGTATGGAAAAGCTCCACGTACTCAGTTTTCCGCGGTGCTGCGGAAATCCCAGCCCCAAAGACAGAGGGAGAAGGAAAAGCACGGACCGAGGTCCCTACAGCCAGCCCAAAAAGGGAGAACAGCTCCTGGAGAAGCAGAGCAGAGGAACCTCAGTCTATCCAACCGTGCCAATACTCACGTGTTGTGACCACAGAGGTCACACCATAAATAAAATATAAATTCGAATCAATATTAGGATGATCAATAAGGTCTAATAAATTATTAGAATGATTATAAACTCAACATTTTTTATCACAGTGAAGGGCACCATGGGCTTTCAGCCTTGCTGGGAACTGGCTGAGTTTGCCCACTGAGTTTCTGCACTCTCTGGAAGGAGCAACTTTGAGTTCATGATCAACTTTAGGGCTCGAGTTTAGCACCAGAAACGCTCAGTATTTGTTATCAATTGGTAATTTACTGCTGTCCCACCACCCCAACAGCCCAGAAGGAAACATGACAGTGTTTTGCAGCCACCTGAATGGGAGATAAATGCAGAAACTTGATGGAACAGGGCTATGACTAATTCCTAAGGACTCTCTGGCAGAGCAGGACTTCTGAGAGCCATTCCACCTCTCACATGGAGCTGCTCCATGACTTGGGAACTGGCCCTGGACTTTCTCTCCTCCTCACAACAAGACCCATCAGGCTCATCCAGACTACAGCAAACAGCTTGAAAAGAATGCTGCCAGCCCAATGCTGCCCTGTGCTATCACTCATTTGTCCCGGACTGTTAAATTCACACCTGCAAAATGAGGTTTGTAAAAGCAATGGAGGGAGAGAGAGAGAGCTTTCCTGCAGCACGCTTCGAATCTCAGGACCCCTCTGTGAGGTCCAGCAGCTTATCAACAATTTTCTTCCGAAGGGGAGGCAGGTTGGAGAGAAATCCTCTCTGACAGCAGCTCGTGATGGGGCAGGAGGCTGAGGCCGCTGCTCCCCTCCCTGCCCGCACAGGGACCTGGAGCACCCAGCCAGCCCCTGCATCTCACCAGCATCCATCTCCTGCTGCTTCTGCCATCCCTGGCTCCTCCAAAAGCGCTCTCACTCCAGAGTTAAGCCACTTGGGAGCAAACTTTCCAAGGCACTTCAATATTGTGTCACAAGCCCACGAAGGGAAGCGGCCACAAATCATCCTCCAGCCGCATTATGGAGAAACTCACCCGCACCCAGAGCAAAGGCTTTCCTCTTGGAGGTTTTTTTCCCCTCTCCTACCTGAGTTTTGAGTTCCCCCGGAGGTCTCCAGCGGGCAGGAGTGGCCTGGGATTGAGGATCTACGTTATTTACTGCTCTACACTGGAGTAGCGTCCCGGTCGCCAAGGCAATGACATTGGAGCTGCTGAAAGCTGTGTGAACAGCGAGGCAAAGCTCCTGCGCTCCTTCCTGGGATAGGAGGCTGTGCAAGGGGGTGGGGAGTGCTCAGCCAAGCGTGCCAGGGAATTAAAGCTGGTCACCAGCGCCAAAGTGACGCTGGGCAAGTTGGCTGTGGGGGCTGTGACAGTGGTGGCCACCTGGCAGCAGCGCTGGGCTTTAATCGGGCACAGAATCAGGGCATGGTTTGGGTTGGAGGGACAATTAAAGATCACCTCATTGCATCCCTGCCATGGGCAGGGACACTTTTCACTATCCCAGACTGCTCCAAACCCCGTCCAACCTGGCCTTGGGCATTTCCAGGGATGGGACGTCCAGCAAAGATGGATGTCAGCATATCAAGGAGGTTTTTCCCCTCATTGGATAGGCAGACTGAGCAGGTTTTGTGTTTGTATTCAGCCAAGGGACCAGATCATCTCTCCCACAGGGATGGGGAAGGGCTCTGGGGTTCCCTGCACTGCTTCTCCCGGGCAGCAGCGACTCAGGGAGGAGCACTGGGTGAAGAATGAACATTTCTGATTAAAAACCATCACCCACGAGGTTACTTATGGATCACAGACACCCTGTCACACTGACACCCCCCTCACAAACTCCCGTGTCACTTGCTGGTCGCTTGCCTGGGGTCACCCAGGTGGGCAGCAGGCTCTGCTCATCCTTGGGCACCACTGCTGGTGCTCAGCTCCCCTGTCCCCACCCGGGGACACAAAGCCACCCCCCTGCCCACAGGCACCCCCACGTCACGGGGAGGTGATGGTGACAGCACAGCAGCTGTCACACCTGTCCCTCTGCTGTGGGGGCAGAAAACTGATGCATTCACCCCCCAAAAAACACACGGCTGCGGCTGGAAGCAGCTTCTGGAACCCAAATAATCCCGAATGAAATCACGACTCCAATCCTCAGAACCTCTGATCATGAGGTTTATTCTTGATGGTGACTGTGCCCTCCAAACAGGGTGGGGGGTGCCACCTGGCCGAGCTGTCACTGGGACATCTGGGGACTTCAGGTAATGCTGGGATGACTCTTTGCAGATTTTAAAGCAATCAAGTATGAAAGAAAAAAAAAAAAAGTGTATTTTTTGACTCCAGTCAACAAACAAACTCAGTCTCTGTCTGAGTTTGTCCAACTGAATACCAGTCTTGCAGAGATTTGCAACAGATTTCTGTGTTGGTAGCAGTAGAGTTCTTGTGTGTGAGTGAAGCCCTTCCTCACACCTATGTGAGGAAGTCAGATTTTTGGGCCAAAAATCCCAGGGATACACACCGTGGGGACAAAGGGAGGCAGTTGTGCATCCCCTGGCTGTTCATAAAATGTGTATTTGATGATTGGCTCTTCGCAAATATTAAATGGAATACCGTATCTATTATGGACGGTTAGTTTGTAATACTGTATGAATCCTTTTAAAATAGTGTGTTAAATGTAGTTTTAGGTTATCACATAATGTTAAAATAGAAACTATGTGATGAAAGATATTTTTACTAGCTCAAGGAATGGGATAAGATAATCAAGAAACTCTTCGCATAGAGATAGCAACAACACGAAACCTGAAGAGTTACAACCTCCTTATCAGAAAAACCAAATATTCTTCCACCTTCTCTCTGTCTTTATGGAACCACCAGGATTAAGGGGAGGAAGTTGACAAAAAACAGAAAAATTCTTAATTTGCAAGGAATTTATGCACCATGTATGAGATACATGAACATGCAACAGGCTGTTGCTTTTAAGGATTATCCCTTTGTTCAAGGCATGTTTTTGGCAGCTCAGAGCCCGAAAACATCTGGAAGTCCAAAATTCTTTGCTTTTTATTGTCTTGGAGTGTCCTAATCCTCATTGTCCAAGTTTTTATTACTCTAATTTTATTACTATTTTTAATGACTATTTTATTACTAATAAACTTTGAAGATTTTAAAAAACAAGTGATTGGTGTTTTTCACATCTACATTGATTGATTGATTGATTGATTGATTGATTGATTCCAGTCACTTCACATCCTTTTTGCTGGCGTATCTCTATTCCAATTATTAGTTTCTCTGTCCTGTTTGGGGAATCTGGCGCGACATCCCACCTGTTCTCCCATTTTTGTCGGTAATTAGCCGGCAACAGTGATTAGCCCGAAGGGCTGATTAATTAGCCAGAAGGGCCGGTTAATTAGTCAAGGCTATTCCAGGCGCGGGACGGTGCGCGGGGAAAGGCGCCAGATAAGGGGGGTTTCCCCGAGGATAAGGAGAGGAGGGAGAACTCAGCCCGCAGCTCATTAACCGCGTCATTACCCGGCTCATTAGCGGCTCATTTGCATACCAATGCCGCCTTCCCGCGCGCTTCCCGCCGCCGGGCGCCCCCTGCCGGGCCGGCGCGGGACCACAACTCCCGGCGTGCCCCGCGGCGGCCCCGCCCGTTCCGGCGGGCCCGGCGGAGCGGCGCGGGGCGGCCGCAGCGCGGCGGGTTCGAATCCCGGCGGCGCCGCGCCTGCCATGAACTTCTCGGAGCCCTTCAAGCTCTCGGGGCTCTTGGGCCGCTTCTCCCCCGACGGGAAATGCCTGGTGAGTGCCGGCCGCGGGCAGCGGCGCCGTGCGGCCCGGCACGGGGCCCCCGCGCGGCCGGGCCGGGCTGAGGGCGAGGATGGAGCCCCGGGGAATGCCGGCCTGAGGCTGCTGCTAAGGGGCAGTACCGAGACCTGAGTCAGCTTAAATTAATCGTAATCTGTTAGGCGAATTGTTTAAAACTAAGTATGACTTTAAATTAAGTAGCACCTGAAGGGAGCCTCCGGGGAAGATGGAGGGGGACTTTCCACAACGGTTTGGAGAGGCGGGACGGGGGAGAGCAGCTTCAAACTGCCTGAGGGCAGGGCTGGACGGGGGAGAGCAGCTTCAGACTGCCTGAGGACAGGGCTGGACGGGGGAGAGCAGCTTCATCTGTCTGAGGGCCGGGCTGGATGGGGGAGAGCAGCTTCATCTGTCTGAGGGCAGGGCTGGACGGGGGAGAGCAGCTTCAAACTGACTGAGGGCAGGGCTGGACGGGGGAGAGCAGCTTCAGACTGCCTGAGGGCAGGGCTGGACGGGGGAGAGCAGCTTCATCTGTCTGAGGGCAGGGCTGGACGGGGGAGAGCAGCTTCAAACTGACTGAGGGCAGGGCTGGACGGGGGAGAGCAGCTTCATCTGTCTGAGGGCAGGGCTGGACGGGGGAGAGCAGCTTCATCTGCCTGAGGGCAGGGCTGGATGGGCTCTTGGGGGGGAATTCCCTGCCTGGGTGGGCAGCCCTGGCACAGGGGGCCCCGAGCAGCTGTGGCTGCCCCTGGATCCCTGGCAGTGCCCAAGGACACGGCTTGGAGCAGCCTGGCGTGGTGGAAGGTGTCCCTGCCCCTGGCAGGGTGGAGCTGAATGAACTTTAAGGTCCCTCCTAATCCAAACTATTAAGGGATTCTATTAAATAAGGGATTCTGTGAAATAAAAAAAGTTATAAGACAGAAAATAATTTTTTAAAAACTGGCGTTGCGTACCCAGCAGTGATGGAATTGAGGATTCTATTTACTGCTGTAAAACCCCCTTTCCCCTGGGTTAGTTCTCACTGCAGTTCACAATGGAGCTCAGCACGTATAGAACAGAATTACAGAATCCTAGACCAGTTTGGAGTGCAAGGATTTTAAATCTCATCTGGTTCAAAGCCCCTGCCACACTCAGGGGCACCTTCCACTATCCCAGGTTGCTCCAAGCCCTCTCCAACCTGACCTTGGACAATTCCAGGGATGGGGCAGCCACAGCATCTCTGGGCAATCTGTACCAGTGGCTCACCACCCACAGGGAGGATTTTTTTTTTAAATTGAAACAGAGCATTGACCCTCTCTGAGCTAAGCCTGGCATCACAGCGAGCCTGGCAGGGACAGCCCTGGTGCTCCATCCAGGATCCTGCCCCAGCTCAGCCCTGTCCCCGTCCCCCCCAGGCCTCGTGTGTGCAGCACCGTTTGTTGGTTCGGGATGCCAGCTCACTGCAGATCCTCCACCTCTACACCTGTGTGGATCAGATCCAGTACCTGGAGTGGTCCTCAGACTCCCTGTTCATCCTGTGTGCCATGTACAAGCGGGGCGTTGTCCAGGTGAGGATGGAAGCAGGGCAGGACTTTCCCAGTTTGGGTGTGATGCGAGTGAGAGCTTAACAGCACTAGTCTGAGGCTTTGCTGAGGCACCTTGATAACACACTTTGAGGATAACCCAGCATGCCAGGATTTTGAAAGCCACGACAAACATCTTAGTTTGAAAAAGAATATTTAGGATAAAAATATCTAACAAAACAGAGATTTCTTACTGCAGTAGGAAATAAACAACATGCAAGCTTGTTAAATGGACCAAACCCATTTAGATGTTGGATATTCAGCATATTTGTCACAGAGAAAAAGCCAACCCCACATCCTTTGCCATTTCCATGACCACCCAGAGGTATGGGACTCACTTTTGCAGCGGGATCCAGCGCCAGTCCTTCATGGCTGCGGGTGCTTGGGTGTTGCTGAGCTGCCTGAGCCGGGATGCAGGAGCCTGTTGGCAGCTGCAGGGAGCCCTCCCGAGCAGAGGTGTGGGTGAGCTGATGCTTCCTGCTCTGTCTGCTCGCTCCCTGCCCCAGGTCTGGTCCCTGGAGCAGCCGGACTGGCACTGTAAGATCGACGAGGGCTCCGCGGGATTGGTGGCTTCATGCTGGAGTCCGGACGGGCGTCACATCCTCAACACCACCGAGTTCCATGTGAGTGTGGAGGCAGGCTGGCTCCCCTCGGTGTCAGATGGTGCTGTCTGCCCTTTGCCTCCCAAAATAACCCAAAGCCCTTAAAGCTGCAGCAGTGGTGGAGAGCACGGATGCAGCTCTGTACTCCTGTGTGTAACTCGGGTTAATTCCAGTTTGTTGTGTTTGTTGTTCCTCTAACATTTTGTCCTCTTGCTTCTAGTGAAACACTAAAAAATGGACACTTAAATTTGAAGGTACAGTTGTTTGGTTCAGAACATATCCTGATGGTTTTGATTTTGGTGGCATTCATCACAGCAATGTTGCTTGCACGGTAAAAAAAAGCTCAGGGTTTCCAGTTAAAAAAAGCCCAAACCATAAACTATAAATGTTTCAGAGTGATTTTAAATTAAAACTTATAGGCTTATTGACCTGTGAGATGAGATTTAGATCCAGATCCTGGAAATACTTTCCCAGTTGTTTGATTTGACGCACAGGAGCCAGACTGCTGGTGGAACCACTTGTGAAATTAAAATTATAACACCTTTAATGCTTGTTAAGACCTATATTGGGGAATGCTACTAATGGAGAATCCAAATTGGTTTGTGGATGGTCGGTTTGTTGGAAGACTTGTGGATTCTGACTTTTCCACCTTCTGGATTAGAGCTGATGATTCCTGTTATTGAGTACAACAATGTATAGTCAGAAAATAGCCAAGAGCTGCACGTGAGACATTTTCTTTTTGTATTTACTCTTTCCAAACCTGTGGAAGGGTTTTAGATGACAGGATCTTGTGTCATAACACTGGTTAGCACAAAATTTACATGCTGCAGTGCAAGATTCCCCCTTTTTTGGGGCAAATCCCAGTGTTAGTGGGATATGGCTGTGGACTCTGCCGTGTGTATGTACTCCTCCATCCCTCTAGATAGGAGTGATAAATTTAGGCCTTGGTTTTCCCAGGTGTGAATTGCCCTGATAGCAGCAATAAAATATAAAAACAAGCCCAGAATCCAGCCTGGAGGCAGTGTAGCCATCCCTGCTGGTCAGGCAGCAGCAGAGGAGGCAGAACTGCAGGCTGGGGCTGTTTGAGGCTCCCAGAGAAGATCTCGTGGCACGTGCATGTGGGGGTGGACCAGCGAGGATTTATTGCCTCCCAACAGAACTCGGTTTGACCTTAGAGGATTTCATTAAGCCTTTGCCAAGTTGGCATCTGTGTTGGGATAAGTTTCCTTTCCAGCTGTAAACAGGTTGCTAAATTAGCTGTTGTCAGACAGCTGCCAGGGCTGGGCCCTGGTTGGAGCTGTGTTTACTCCCTCCCTGCTAAATCCACAGTCTGGGGGGATGGATGTGGGCAGTGCTCAGGATATTTAATATCAGTGTGTTATCAAATCCAGTGATTGCCTGGAGGCTTTGGGGGTTCCCTGTCAGCCAGCTCAGCTGGGCTTTGGTCACTTCCAAACAGCACCAAGTAACCACTCCTTATTCCTCAGGTCAATGTGTGGACTCCACTGAGAGCTCCCAAGGAACTTTCTTATTTCCTGAGTTTTTTTAAAGGTTATGGTTGTGCTAATTTCTTTCTAGCAACCTGTACTTACTAGTTGCTCAGAAAAATAATTACAGAATCCCAGAATAGTTGGAGTTGGGAGGGCACTCTGGAGATCATCCAGTCCAACCCCCCTGCCAAGTCAGGGTCTGGAGCAGGTGACACAGAAATTGATCCAGGTGGGTTTGGAATGTCTCCAGAGAGGGAGACTCCACACCCTCCCTGGGAAGGTGTTCCAGTGTTCTGCCACTCTCCATGGAAAGAAATTCTTCCTCATGCTGAGGCGGAACTTGTTGTGTTTTAGTTTATGGCCATTACTCCTTGTCCTGTCACTGGCACCTAAAAAAAGGAGTCTGGCACCATCCTTTGACACTTGGAATTCATCAGCTAATTTGTAGGGTTTCTCTGTGGTCAGTGTTCCTCCTCTACTGAAATCCACTCTGAGAGGCAGTTTCACATTATCAGTGTGTCCTGTGGAAAGTGTTGAACCCTATGTGACTCCTTCCAATGCCATTATTCCACCAGAATTTACAGGCACAGGTAGAGCTTAACCATCAGCTGCAGGTGAAGGATCTGAAGGAAAGCAAATGAATCCTCTTCACATTTCTGAAAGTGCTCAAAGCCAGGCTGGACAGGACTTGGAGCAGCCTGGTCTAGAGGAAGGTGTCTCTGCCCATGGCAGGGGGTGGGAGAAGATGAGCTCTAAGGTCCCTTCCAACCCAAGTCATCCTGGGATTCTGTGATTCTCTGCTTCCTCATGGTCCTCATATTTTGGGATAAATAGTGTGAAGATGTTCTGGAGTGTTTCTCTGAAGAGCTGTGCTTATAAACGACATACTTTGTACTTTGTCTCATTCCATGTCAAGTCCTTAAGCATTAAGGACTTCTTTGGAACTCCAGCAGCAGGGAAAAGTGTGTGTTTCTGTGTGTATCCCAGCTGATCCTTGGTAACTGTGCGTGGCTGCGTTGGCTGAGAAATGCTTCCTGGCGAGGAATGTGCTCCGAATAATCTCCTGAAATCCGGTGCTGACAGACACTGCTATGTAAGGGGGCCGAGTGACCCAGTCAAGTCTGGGACAAGAGTTGACAGTCATTTGAGCTGTAGGTTGTTTAAAAGTGTGTTTTTGTCTGCTGAAAATCACCAGTCCTCCACCTGCCTGGAGCTGTCAACATCGGGCCGTGGTCCTGGGCCCGGCGCTGGAGACTGTTTATCACGTTACCATCTAAATACTTTTTATTTCTCAGCTGCTTTTAGGCTATTTTAAAAATGCTTCTGCTTTTGGTTTGTTTTTCCACTGCAAAACAACAGCTGAAAACTTCTCAGACACCATTATCATGAGGATTTGAGTTTGACAATTCCACTCAATCGAGTCATCTATGCTGAAGACAAAGTACCCCAAAAAGGAGCAGTGGAGAAGGGCTTGCTGTAGATTTAACTAACCATGGGCTGTTCTCCTTGTATAAAACCAATTGTCCCTTCTCCATGAATTCCCTGCAAAAGGCAACGAGCAGCAATGGAAATTTCCTGTCATTTTTGAAGCGTTTGGTTTCTTTTCTCACCCTCTGTGTTTGGTGTTTCTGTTGCTCCTGATCCTGTCTGCAAGCTGTGACATAATCCTTCTAATCTTCTTCATCTCATTTATGTTGGCAATTTAAATGAGATTGTGGAATGTTCCAGGTGGGAATATGAAGGTTTTCCCTTTCAGTCACAATTCAGTTGTAAACACAGTGTAAAGGGAAGGGGGTGTGAAATCCATACATTAAGCACATAATGTGAGTTTTTCTGTAGGAATGTCTGAGTGGGCGCAAAAGGAACAACAGAAAAGGATCCTATTTTCAAGAATCAAAATTATTTGGTTTTGAATGTTCCTAGCACTAGACCAAACCATAATGTTGTGATTTGGATGAGAAGTTACAGTGGAATTAATAGAATATATCTGTGTGCTTCCCTCTGAGCCTGCAGCCCTTGCAGGGGAGAGAGTGGAGTTGAACAGAGAACAACAGGATGAGAGGACACAGCCTCAAACTCAGCCAGGGAAGGGTCAGATTGGACATCAGGAGGAATTTCTTCATGGAAAAGGTGGTCAGGCATTGGAAGGTGCAGCCCAGAGAGATGAGTGGTGGGAGTCCCCATCCCTGGAGGTGGCACTTGGTGCTCTGGGATGGGTGACAAGGATCAGGGATCAGGCACAGGTTGGATTGGACTTGATGATCCTGATAATCTTTCCCAACCTCAATGAATCTGTGAATAGAGGAATTGAAACAAGATGATCTTTAAGATGATCTGTGATTCTGTGATCTTGTTAGATGTTAAAGGTGTGTTGTGGCTGATAGATGGATTGAAGATGAGGGCTTTGCTTATTTGCATTTGCTTAGAGGCATCTTGTTTACTTGTAGTCTGGGTTTTTGCAGGTGTGTTTTTGTGTGTGTGACTGTGCTATGAAATGTGTGCTGGCTGTGCCCTGTGGGCTCTCCCCAGTGCTGCAGGGGCACTGGGGTGGTTTGCTGTCCATGTTTTGGGGCACACAGGGCAAGGCAGTGCCCCCTAAGCAGTATCAGGGTGTGATGACACTGTGATCAAGTGCCAGGAGCATGTGCTCAGCAGTGAAGAACAGGAAAGCCATTATTGTCCTCCCTAAGGAATCACAAAGCTCGACCCTCTTGGAAAAGCTGCTGTTTTTACACCAAATGGAGGTTTAGGTTGAATGATAGGAAAAATTTCTTCATGGAAAAGGTTGTCAAGCAATGAGACAGACCCCCTCAAGGGAGGGGTGGAGTCAACATCCCTTGAGGGATTTAAAAGACATTTAGATGTGGAACTTGGGGACGTGGTCTGATGGTGGCCTTGGCAGTGCTGGGGAAATAATTGGACATAGTGGCCTTTGAGGGTTTTTCCATCCTAAATGATTCTGTGCCTCCATGATGGAGCACAGATGGATGCAGAAATACTTTGAAACAAAGGTGGCCTTGCCTTTTCTCTGGCTGGGCCTCAGGCAGGGCAGAGGTGACAGTGGTAACTCAACATGGGATGTGCTGTGTCCCATTTCCAGGGATCTGTGTGCTCTTGAGCTCAATATGAGCAGCAAGGTGTTGCCTCCTGAGGTTTGGAGCAGCCAGTGTGGTCCAGGATGGAAGTGTGTTTGATGCCCAGCAGGCCAGGAGAGCTGTTCATGAGGCTGAGTAGCAGCACTCAGATGCCTTTGTCAGGAAAAATGATGATCCAGCCCTCAGCATTCGAAGCCTGCAGCTGCTAAGCTTGTATTAAGTGGCTGGAGAATGTGTGCTGTGTGTTTTGCTCAGGGGAGGCAGGGCAGCCAGTGCATTTAGGGCTGCAATTAATAGTCCCCGGCAGCATTTCAGTGCTGCAGTTGCTGCAGAGGAATGTGTGGAGGCATTGTGTTGGTATTTTTAAAGTAAATCTTGCCTGAGGAGCAGACTGACAAGGCTGGCTTTGGGTGGCCGGAAGTGAGTGGCCCCAGGGATAAAAGTTGATTAATTCATCTCATGGGTTCCTCCAGGAGCTGCTGAACTTAGAGGAGGAGATTCTGCCCCTCTGCCCTGCCCAGGTGAGACCCCACCTGCAGAGCTGCCTCCAGCCCTGGGGTCCCAGCACAGGAAGGTCCTGGAGCTCCTGCAGAGTCCAGAGGAGGCCCCAGGATGATCAGAGGGATGGAGCAGCTCTGCTGGGAGGAAGGGTGAAAGAGCTGGGATTGTTCACCTGGAGAGGAGAAACCTTGGGGTGACCTCACTGTGGCCTTCCAGTGCCTGAAGGGAACTTACAGGAAGGATGGAGAGGGACAATTTCCAAGGGCCTGGAGTGACAGGGCAAGGGGGAATGGCTTGCCACTGACAGAGGGCAGGGTTCCTTCCCTGTGAGGTTGGACAGGGCTTGGAGCAGCTTGGTCTACTGGAAGGTGTCTGTGTCCATGGCAGAGGCTGGGACAAGATGAGCTTTAATGTCCCTTCCAGCCCAAATCATTCTGTGATTCCATGGAAAAAGATTTCTGTGTTACTTCCTCAAATCTCAGAATTTTCCTGACGTGTAAGGCAGAAGGGTCTGTTTGGGATTCCGTGGATCTCTGATGGGGAGGCAGTATTTATTTGGATTCTGAAACTTGGTTTGAACCCTGTAAATCTCTTGAATTCTGCTTCCCACCAAAACTGATCATGTCAGCAAGGGAAAAAACCTTCAGCTTCTGTTGCAACACAGAGCCTGCAGATTACCAGTGAAGCAGATCCATAGGCTGCTCCCTCAGCATCCTTTGTCACCATTGAGCAGTGCCAGGTCCTTCAGGGAAGGAAAAGGTGTGTTGAGGACAAACCTGCAAAAAGGTCTAGGAGAACCTTCCTCCTGAGACTGCTGGGGTGCTGCTGGGCTGTGTGGGGTGTGGGAGGAGGAGGAAATGGGCACAATGCTGGTGTTTTACATAATGGATCAGAATTAATTTTGGTGTTCAGTAGTTCAGGGAAAGGCACCTTTGTGATAGAGGTGCTTCACTGGCAAAAGTCCTACCTGTAGCTGTTCCTTGGGGCAGTAAAATGCAGGAAAGCACAAGTGAAAAACCTGACCCTGGAAACATTCCTTGCTCCAGCTCCAAATGCAAAGGTTCACGTGCCATCCTGGTGAATGCCCATGTGTCTGGGGCTGCCGTTGCTAAGGGAGAGGGAGTATTTGTTTTTAATTGGGTAATGTGCAGATGGCAAGGCACAGCCTGGAGTGCAGCTGTGACCTTGGGGAGCTGTGGGGAGGCTGGGGCTGCCTTGGTGCTTGTGGAGGCACAGTTCTCCAGAAATCCCCCAAACACCAGTGTAAAGCCTCGCTTTGCATAGCAGGTTTTGGGTGTCTGAATTTTTCAGTAATTCTGTAAGGGTGCCTCCTTGTGTGTGCCTGAGGAGGGAAGAGCAAAACACAAACCAGCCATCAAAGCTAAGGGTTTCTAAATGTTGTAAAATACAGCTCGATATTCATGCTTGATAGCCTTTCCCCAAGGGATACAGTGTTCTGAAGGGGTTGTAACTTATCATCCATTCATAAAGGCAGGAAACTCCCCATCTCTCCTCCAGATTCTGTGATGAATCTTGTTTTTCCAACTGCAAAGTGACTCTGGGTAATAGATTGGGAAGATGTTTATGCTAATGTCAGGAACTTCAGTGTTTGTGAAGAGGTTTTCTTCATATCAGTGGTGTGAATTTTGCATCCCCATCTAGAGTACTCATGTAAGCTTGGGGAAAATTCCCTGCTAACTGCCAGAAATTGGGAAAGAATTCCTCATAGCTGCTTCCCAGGTTATTGTGTTATACAAAATAGCTGCAGAATTAATTAATCACAGAAGGTTCATTGATTCACTTTGTGTTGCTGAATTAGGTTGATGTTTTCCTATTAATTCTTTTTTTTTTTTTTTTTAATCTACAAAAATAACCAAAACTGCTCCCTGTCTCTGTGCCAGCTGCGAATCACAGTGTGGTCTTTGTGCACCAAGTCTGTGTCTTACATCAAGTATCCCAAAGCATGCCAGCAAGGTAAGTGTCACACACCTAGCTGGGAATGGTCCTTTAATGTGGCAGAAAGGGAAAATGACTTTAATGTGACCACAAACCCCATTTCTGGGAGCAGGGTCTGGTCTCATCCCTTCTGAGCAGCACCTGCAGCCAGGTTGTGGTGTCTGAGTGAGGGATTCCAGCAGACCCATGTGCCTGCTCTTCACATGTGTTGTGTTTGCCCCTGAGGGATTTTTTAAGACATTAAATTATGCTGGACATGCTCGCCATGAAAAACATTAATCCAAAGTGACTTTTGTCATCTTCTGCATATGGAAAGGCTGGAAAGGGAAGCTTGTGTCAGGGCTGTCAGACCACATGGCTGTGGTAAGCAATTTCCTGCCCAAGGCTTGTATCCCAGAGATGACAAAGACAATTAAGTATTCCATATAAAATCCAGGAGGATGGGGAGCAATGCCTGAGAGTTGGTGGAGACCTGATGGTTGCATAACTGATCCTTTTAGCCAGGCTAAATGAAGTGGTTATTTGAAATCTGTTGGGTTTATATAACAACTGTCAGTGGTTAGATGTGTTCTGAAGCATGCTAGAGCTCTGCATCCTGAGAAATTGTACATTCTGAGCTTAAAAATTGCTGACACAGTGAATCAGTAACTTCACTGTGCTTTGCCTTGATTAATGTGACCTTCTGTGAAGAGATTCTGTCTCCTCTTTTAGTTCTGCTTTGAATTGGGAGTAACTGTGCCTTGCTCAAACTCATCAGCTCTTCTGCCTTGCTGCCTGATTTCTATTTAAGCCAGTTTTAATTAATCTGTCCCATGGCAGGGGTGGCTTTCACCAAGGACGGGCGGTACATGGCCGTGGCGGAGCGGCGCGACTGCAAGGATTTCATCAGCATCTTCGTGTGCAGAAGCTGGCAGCTCCTCAGGGTGAGCTCTGCCTCTGCTCCCACTCTCCTCTGGACGTTACCTGCACATATTGCACACTACTCCATCAGAAACACAGAGAATAGAAGTGCTTGGTACTTGGGACATGTGATACAAACTGTTCACACATGGGATCAGCCCATCAAGGGTGGCATTGGCCACAGGCTGAATCTGAGCAATTAAACCTCACCAAGGACTTATCTGTATCTTGTGTCACCTCTAATTTGGGAATTCTGAGCCTCACCAGAAGCTGAGAGAAAATTTGGGAAATACCCCTAAATGTTTGTCGTGTTCCTGAGCTTGTCCCTAATGAATCTTGTAGTGGAAGCTGTGGCTGTCCCCTTCCTGGAGGTGTCCAAGGCCAGGTTGGATGGAGCTTGGAGCAACCTGGGATAGTGGAAGGTGTCCCTGCCCTTCCACTATCCACTAAGAAAAAAAGACTTTTTTCTTTTTTTTTTTTCTACCAGGGCTTGGGAAATTGCAACCTGGAAATGTAACAAAAATGTGGGAATCTTTTCAATAGGATAGCTGTAAGGTCCCTTCCTTACTGGAAGGGATCCCAGTACAGATCCTGTACTGGGCTTTAAGACAAGGAATTAGCCTTCTTGGATTTTTGACTGATTCAGTGTAACTAATTTTCTTATGAAATGCTGTTCATTTGAAGGTATGGAAACTTTTAGCTTTTCTGTGGAGGGGATCAAAGATCCACTGAATGCAGCATGTATTACAAGAGGAAATATTTTTTTTGCTACTCTGGCAGACAAAAAGCTCTTTTGTGTTTGTGGTAGCCCTTGAAAGGTTAAAACTGAACATTCTGTCAACTTGGATACAACAGGATTTGTTGACACGTTTCAAATGGTTTCGTGGTTTCTCTTTTGTGGGCAGCATTTTGACACTGAAACCCAGGATCTGTTTGGGATTGAATGGGCTCCCAATGGCTGTGTGCTGGCAGTGTGGGACACGTGCCTGGAGGTAAGAGGAAAAGCAGATTATTTTCTTGTAGAGCTCAAGCTGGTCTTTGGCCATCATACATAAAGCAGTGACTAAAATTATTAGTGCTTAAAATGTTTCTTTTGAACATAAAAGGGTGTGAGTCCAGCTTTTGTTAAATATTATGCTTATATTGGAGATGGGTGTCCTTGCAAGTGGATGTCGCTGTTCTTTAAATCTTCAATGACAGCAAATTATTTCTAATTTATTTTGCAAAAAAATTGTAAACATTGCAGAAGCTACTACTGAAATAATAATGGAAGAAGAATAATGGAAGAGTGTAAGAGTCTTCTACAGCTTTATTGACATTGCACTGAACAGTGATTTTACAGTTACTGGAAGTACTCATCCAAAAATAGAGCAACAAAGCCTCTTAACTCATAGACAAGAGATCATTTGTACCTTTGTATTTGATTGCTGCATGTTAAGCAGGCAGAGTTTGGCAGGATGATTTGCTTGCCTGTGGTTTCTAGCAGCGTTTCTGGATTAGAGTGGCTGTGCTGTGTTTCAGTACAAGGTGCTGCTGTACTCCCTTGATGGGCGGCTGCTCTCCTCCTACCGTGCCTACGAGTGGCCCCTGGGCATCAAATCCATTGCCTGGAGTCCCAGCAGCCAGTTCCTGGCCATTGGCAGCTTTGATGAAAAGGTGAGAAGTGTTTCTTGCCTCTTTTATCTAAATCATTTGAAGAACTTTGCCCTAACAGTCTCGCCTTGCCACGCTTCCTGAGCCAGGTGCGTATCCTGAACCACGTGACGTGGAAGAAGATCACAGAACTTGAGCATCCAGCAACCATTGCCAGCAAACAGACTGTAAGTGTGGATCCCAAATCCATGGAGACCTTAGCAGAGCTTGGGTACTGCTGTTTGTATCTGAAAGATGCTGATTAATCCATTTTATTCTGGAGACATTTTTTCCTTTTTTTATCTGCCAGGGCTTGGGAAATTGCAATGTGGGAATGTAACAAAAATGTGTGAATCCTTTCAAATTTGATGAAATATGTGTCTGTGATTGTCTCTCTTTAGCAGTAATGGAGTCTCAGATGCTCCTGTTGTGTGCCAATGTATTTTGGGTGTAGGTGGTGGCTGCATTACAGATTTGGGTGTGCAGGCGATGGCAAACTGGAAAACTGAACAGGAGAGATTTGTCTCAGCTTCATACAATTCATAACTTTAAACAGTGCTGGAACTGGACTGTGTTCAGATTTTCCATCCTGTGTGGACAGGCTCATCCAGCTCACCTAAAGGGCATTTCCTGGAACATCTGTCAGCATTGATTTTTATCCCTTATACCTGTACCTGCAAGGTCTGACAGATTCTGGGCTGTTGGCAGCAGGTGCAGAGCTGCTGTTCCCAAAATCCTGAGCTGATCTCATCCCTGGAGCTAACAAGAACAGTGTGTGGTGCTGTTTGCCATTGCAGAGGACCTGAACAGACCTCCTGGAAGAGTCTGTATGTGGATTATAGGCCTACAATATTCACATGACTCTGCCTCTTAACCAGAAGCCAGGCACAAGCCATTAAAGCACCTCAGCAAAGCTTTTCATGGCTGAAAAATGCCTTAACTTCCAGTTAGGTGTAAAATATGTCATGGAAAACAAATGGAAATAGCTCTGTTAATCTCCACTACACAGACAGGAATTGCAGTTGCTGTGTTTTATCCTGGTGCTTGTGTTTGGGAGTATGTTGCAGGCACACTAAAATATTTTTGCTATTTTCCTTCTGCAGCAATGCGCTTTCTTTGTGACAGAATCCGATTAAAGATTTTTGGTTGTAAAAATGAGATGTTCCCACTGTAATGGGGATGATTTAATTTGCTGTCAGAAATAATGAACAAGGTGCACTCCCTCAGGCTTTTTCTTCAGTGTTTTTCCTGATCATGGTTCCAAGTGGCCCATGATTCCCTGGGAATACTGGATTCCAGATCTGCCTACTGAAGCCCTTTCCTCTGCTCATGAACCAGGGGATACTGAGATGTACTAAATGTGCAAATGAGCCAGTGGGATGTGGGTTTTTGGTAACACCCCATGTCCAAAGTCTCCGAGGCCCTTCTGTAGAGCTCTCACTTGTTTTTTTGTAGATTGTGTATAAAGAAGTGGAGAAATCCCCAACTGTTGGCACAGAGAGACTTTCTTTCCCTCCAACAAGAGAATTGGCTAGTTCTCTCTTCAGCACACAGAGTAAATGTAAGCCAATGTTTACTCAAACCAGACACTTGAGTTTGTCTTGGGAAGTCTTTAAATAAACATTGTAGGTGAACTCTGCCCCTTGGACAGCGGAACAGATCCTCTGGATGTTCTCTAGGGCAGTAAAAATCAGTCTCAGTCTTTGTGGCACTGTAAATCACCTTTGGTTGACAGTATTTGAAATACTAGTTAAAACGTGTAGAAAAATTACTCTCCTAATTTTCCTGATTTAATCTCAGTCTTGCCTGAATTTCCAGCCCTTCCTTTTCTGCAGGAGGGCAGGAATAATAGTAGGGTGGCTGTGTGAAGATGTAGTATCTTAAAGCAATTGAAATTTTGATTAGAACATCTTGGAGAAGAGTAAAATTATGGTCCTATCACTTCAGAGATGAGGGGTTTTAACAGTTGGATGTAATTGCATTGTCCATCCAGGCTCACTTAGTGAAATGCTTTTATTTCCCGTTCCAGATGACATTTCCCAGGTGCCAGTTTCTTTACAGTACATCAAACCAGTTGCTGACAGGGCAAATCCCAAAGTGGGAGTTGGGATGTTGGCCTTCAGTGCAGATAACTGTTTCCTGGCAACCAAAAATGGTAAGTTCCGAGTGCCCTGCCTTAGAGGGGAAACCATGTGGGGCATGTGGGGGCTTTCCTTAGCAGAAGTGATCCTTTACACTATAAAAAGAGTCATGGCTCTGTAGAATCAGCTCTGTTGTGAGATATGTAACTACAGAGGAATCCCAGCCTATCTTCTAGTGTGTGTTAACTGGTGATCAGGGCATGAACTCAGCCTTATCTCTGTATTTAATGGAAATAGGGGGGTTTTATATTTCTTCAAGTTTGTGTGAGCTCACTGTATTGAAAATGAAAAAATTCTTCCCACTTACAGCCTGGGTCTCTTAAAAGACAGAACTTTGCACAGCCTATAGCAGGAGGAATTCTGACTTCTTGAATAGTGAAAATCATGGAATTAATGTTCCATTTTTCCCTTTGGTCCTGAGGGGCTGTTTGTGCCTGGATGCCAAAGCTCTGGGTCAGGTGTAAAACCCATCAGACAGATTAGTGTGATAAAAACCAGGGAAGGACTGGGATATGGACTAGACCACTTTTACCTTCTTTTGCAATATTTCCTGAAGGCTCTGCTTGGCAAAACTCAAGTGGTGCTAACCCTGGGGCGTACCTAAAGATTTGTGTCATACGAATGTGTTTATTCCTGTGCATTTAGAAAAAAACACACATGATCCTTTTATCCTCCAGCTATCACACAGCTGCTGCTTCCTCTGCAGATAACATTCCCAACGCTGTGTGGATCTGGGACATCAGGAAGCTGAAGCTGGCAGTGGTGTTGGAGCAGCTGTGCAGCATCCAGTGTTTCCAGTGGGACCCCTGCCAGCCCCGCCTGGCTGTGTGCACGGGCAGCAGCAGAGTGTACCTGTGGTCCCCAGCTGGCTGTGTTGTCGTGCAGGTGCCTGGGGAAGGTGAGCAGCAGCTGCCACAACCCCTCAGCAGCTGCTCAGTTGTTGGAAACTTGGTTGCTGAGAATTTTAGACTTTCTGTGCTGACAGGCACTGAGCCCCAAGAGAACACTGCATTGACCTGAGGCCATGGAGGCTTCCAAAATGGAATGATAGAACTGGGATTGTGGGTGTGGAGTTTGAATAGAAGTGTGTGATACCACAGGGTGGAAAACTTTATAGAGTTTGAGGGTTTAGAATATAGTAATATATATAAAGCAAGGTGGAGGTTTTAGAGTGGAGGCTGGTCCCTCCCCTTTTCCCCCTCCTCTCCTTTTCCCCTTCTCCTCCATGGGTTTGGGTGGTATTGTGTAATTGGACAAAAAGTCCACATTGTGAGCCAATGGTGGTTTGTCATTGGGTTAAAAATAAAAATAATTTAGGTGTCATTTCTTAATTGGACAGTTTATCCATAAAAGGTCTTGTAGAGAGAGAGATACAGCTCCATTTTTAGTTTGTTAGAGTGAAGTGCTCTGGAACTCGGGGTTTGTAAGACTATAAGAGAGATAAGAATAAACATCTGGATCCCAACAAGAAATACCATCTCACAATTTAATCCCAGCCCTGACAGAAAAGAAGCAAAGATCCAGAGAAAAATATTATTCCATTTATAAATTGATCTGAGTGTTATGCTGGAGATAGCTCAGGTGTGTCCTTGGAGCTGTTTAAAAATGGGTGTTCTCTCCCTCAGGAAAAGAGGAGTTAATAGTGAGACACAGGAAAAGTCTCAGGGACAGCATGGGGCCTGCAGGGATTTGTGTGGCTGACTCCAGCTGCCTTTCCTCCAGCAGGAGGATGGGCTGCCAGCTCCTTGCTGACACACTCTGATCTCTTCCTCCAGGTGACTTCCAGATCACGTCTCTCTCCTGGCATTCCAGTGGGGACTCCATGCTGCTCCTGAGTAAGGACAACTTCTGTGTGTGTTACTTGGAAAGAGAAGAGGTAAAATAAAATAACTAAAATGCATTAAAACTGCTCCCAAGTCTGAGGAAGAAAGAGGAAAGGAGTGAAAATCTGTTGCCCAGTCTGAAGTGTTTGTATTTATAAGTTATTTATTTGAAGGAGCTCCAAGCTCAGTGTGTGGAATACTGTGACTGCATTTGAATGAAGTGATGTAGCAAGTGAAATGTAAGGAATGAGTGTCTATTGCAAGAAAACCTGAATCTTGAGGGAGTTGATCTTTTTCAACTCTGAACCCTTATTTTCTAAAACTGTAGCTCTGTGTATATATAATGTATAGCTGTTATTTAAATTTTCTATTTCCAATAAATATTTTGATAGTTACAAACTATAAACCTGCACCTCTGCACTTGAAAGTCTGTTTCAGAGTGATCGGTGATGTGATGATGTAGTGATTTATCCCAGCACAAGGAAACTGTTACTTGTACACAAATAATTTTGGGTAACAGTAACTGTGCCTGGGCCACCGTGGATTTATTACATGGAATCTTTGCCAGAGGGATCACAATTGACACTTCAAGATGCTGAATTACAGGTAACTGAAATGGGAGTTTTTGTCCCAGCTCTGGTGCCAAATAGGAGGGGATGGTTTGGCAGGGAAGGAGCAGTTGGATATCCTTCCTCCTTGGCCTTCCAAAGAGGGAATTTCTTGTTTAGGAATTCACTGGATGCTTTTTCTTTTATTACCTAATCTCACAGCCTCAGTCTCCAGAAAATGAAGAACAAATACCAAGTAAGACTTGAAATTTTAACTTTACTGCAAGGTTAATGAAAATTGAACAAGTAACTTAGAAAATGCATGGAGAAGCTTGGAAAGCTGGATTCAGGACTGACTGCAACAGGAGTTTCACAAACACCCACCTACATTAAGGTCAAAAACCCCACCACTGCAGCACAGTGTTCATCCAGCAAATAAATGCTCTGATGAAAGGGCATGGAGAGAAGGTCATGCACAAGGAAAAAGCTTATTAGTCACCTCCTGAGCAATTACAGCTGTAATCTCTTGGGCTGCTTCTGAATTTCATCCCTGGATGAGAGGTTCAGTGCAGGAATGTATGAACCAAGGCTGACACACAGTGTTGGAAGTTTTCTCTGTCTCCATTAAAAAGTCTGGCCCAAACTAGAGTGGATTTAAGAAAAATGGCTGAGAGTATCAAGCTAACCAAAATAGAATTCCTTTTTAGTTCTACAAAGAACAGCTTTGAAGGCAAACGTGTTTGTGAGGCTTTTGGCAACGTTCTCTCACAACAGTCTTTATTCTGTAGCTGCAGCAGAGGAACAGAAGTAGAGAGGAAGTTTGAGTAGGTTCTTAGAGGGATTTTTACAAGAAGCTCAGAAATGCATATTGAGTTCACAAACTGCTGCTGAGCAGGTGGAACAGTGCAGCTTTAGCAAAAGCTAGCAAATACAGTTAAAGACCGACTGACAGCTTTGAAAATTCCTAACAGGCATTAATCAGAGCACTGAGATCATAGTGATTGGAACACTGAGATCATAGTGATTGAAACGACACAAAGCAGTCCCAAGCACACGACAGGATTTGACACCGTACACAGGGACACAGCGGGGCCGTGGCACAAAGGTTCTGCTGTGCACTGGGGGTTTCAGCAGGTTCCAATGGCACTTCATGGACTGGGAAGAGCAGGCACTGGGACACAGAACACACCACACACCCTGCATAAGAACCAGTGGGGGCTGTAAATCAGGTACAAAATACAAGGCTGACACCACCCTGCTTCAAATGCAACCTGTGCATTCCCCAAATAACTGGGAACTGTCCTACAATGTCCCTCTTTCCTTTCCTTCCCCTGGTGACTTTGCTTTATCACGTGCTCTGCCCTCAGCACCCTCTCTCCAGGGCACCACCAGCAACTCACTTGCCCTTGAATAGCTGATACACAGGGGGTTTAAAATCCAATTTTGCCTCTTGTCATGGAGTAGCCCAGCTTGGCCTCGTTGTTGATGAAGGACATCAGTCCCAGGTAGGTCTCGATGAGGATGGGCCGCTCCAGCACCAACACCCCGTTAGTGCTTCCTGGCGCTGGGCGCTCCTTGTGGGCTTTCTTCACAGCCTGGATCAGCTGTGTTTGAAAGTTTTCCATCTGGAAGAAAAGAAATCACCTTGCTTTTGCATTATTTGTAAACTGTTAAGCAGCTGCTGATAGGGAATGGTGAAGGATTAGCATTAAAGCTGTAGCTGTCACGGCTCTATGGGCTGCGATAGTCACAGTCTGATATTTAACCTCAGTGATTCAGTTAATTTCACACAGGACACTGCTGATGTGTGACTTAAACAGGGAAAGATTTATCAGTGACCAGGTGTTTATTTCTGACTCTGGTTCTGCCCTGCTCACTGATGTGTTATGCTTAATAGTGTTCTAATTTTAGGCAAACCTTCAGAGGGAAGCAGCTGTTACAGAAAGAACTGAGAACCACCTTGGTCAAGATTTTCAGTGAGCAATTAAACTGTCTGTTAATTAGCTGGCAGTCCTAGATGAAAAGACCATAAGCCTGTCAGGTAAGTAAGAGCAGAAACAGCCCAAGATCCATTTGCTTCTGGGTTTTACAGGACTTTTTACCTTCAGTTTTGGCTTCCTCTGTGTTTCAGCCAGTTATGTGTGGCTGGCAAAAATAGGCAGTAGGGCCACCTTACAAGTCAAAATTTGGAGACTGGGGAGATGGAGCTCCAAATTGTACCTCTGATGTAACTGATTTTGTTTGATTAATCAATGTATTGCTTAAAAAGTAATCCAAGTTGTGTCTACCCTACGAGCTCAATGAGCTGCCTGGAGCGGGTCCTTACCCGGCACAGGGATGCGATCTTCTCGTCAGCGTCTGCCATGGGGTGCTCGGTGAAGGTCACGTAGGGGATGTTGGTGGACCAGGGGTTCCACCTGTTGATGAAGGAGGCTCGGCTTTGCTTGTCCCACTGGATGCGGATACCGACACCTTCCCTCCTGACAGTGCAGAATGAAGAGGGTAAAACTTGTCTCTGAGCAAGGTTACCTAAAAATGTTCTGTCTGGAAATGACCTACTTGGAACCAGAAGCTCACTTGAAATATAAATGATAGTAAATTTTACTGAAGGCAAGAAATGCAGTAATTCAGTCCCTGGAATGTGCAAAGGGACATTCTACGAGCTAAGAGCAAGAAGGTGAAGCACCTGGGACACCCTGGCCATCCTTCACAGCATGTGACAGCTCCAGTGTACAGGGGACCTGCCACTCACAGCTTTCTACTCATGCTAAGGTGGTAGTGCTACTACTTACTGCATTATGTAATGGTGAGGAGTTTCTGCACCCAAATCTTCTCATCTTATCTTGAAAGTCTTTGAGCAACTTGCTGTTTGTACTCACCACCCCAGCAAACCAGCAGAGCTACCCTGAGGTCTTCTAGTAAAGCTTCAGGAATTGTTTGCAAAGTTAAGCAAACAAAAGGAAGAATTCTCTGACCATTCCAGTGGTCAGGCTGACAGCTCAATCTGTTCCCAATATCTCTTGCCTGTGGCTGCTTACTTGTTGAGAGATTTGGGTGGGAACACAAACTCCCCCACAGAGATGGTGTCCACGGCACTGAGGGCAATCCTGGTCACATGCTGGCACTGCAGGCTGATAAAGTTGTACTTGCAGACCAGGAGGGACCAGTCCGTGATGAGGACAAGGCGCTCCTTCTCATTGTTCCAGTGATCGATTCTGGGGAGAGAACAGCACTGAGCTTTAAGTGGTTCTGGCTCCTGGCTAGAAACACTCAAGAGCCTGGCAGAAAGAATTGCTGAGGAGAACAAATCTGAAGTCTTGGTGACGCTGTATTTTCTGTTACTTTGCCTTGTATGATCAGGGCCAGTGCAGGGCTGAGGGTCTGTGCCCTGCCGCACACACAGGGCTTTGGGACAGTTTCTTAAAGCTATGTACGCTTTACTGCAGGGGACAGTTTCTTAAAGCTATGCCCACGCTTTACTGCAGGAGTGGGTTCTCTGTGGGACTGGATTTCTTAAAGGCTCAAGTAGGGAGTGAGTGTTGGTCTGGTTATAACGAAATAATGCTATAATGATGGCTGCAGCCAGCCTGAGCAATTCCGGGCCTTGGGGGCGGATTAATATTCACCAGGTTTAACAGAGAACAGCGCCGTGGGCTGCGCAGCTCTGGCCCAACAACGCGGGGCCGAGGCTGCCCCGGCTCTCGCCTCCCCCTCCCGGAGCGCCCGTCCCATCCCCGCGGAACTCACTCGGTGAGCAGCCACACGCTCTGCACCTCCCCGTCCTCGGCGGGCAGCACGACCACGCGGATCTCGCTCACCGCCTGCTCGATGGTGCCGGGCTGCGGGGGAGAAGCAGAGGTCAGGCAGTGCGGGCGGGCCCCGCGGCCGGCCCGCGGCGCTCCCGGCGCGCACCCGGAACACGAAGTACTGCCGCAGGCGGCCGGCGCGGCCCGCGCTCCGCACGCTCAGCGGCCGCAGCGTCTGCCGGGCCGGCGGCGCGGCCGGCTGGAAGGGCGGCCCGGCTGCCCCCGGCACCAGCGTGGCGGCCCCGGGGCTGCCGGGGCTGCCGGGGCCGCCGGCCGGGCCGGACTCGTCCGCGTCCCGCAGCTGCAGCATCGCGGCGGCGCCGGGCGGGCGCTCGGAGCCTTCCGGGGCGGAGCGCGGCGGCCGGGCCGCCTCTCGCTCCGCGCCGCGCCGGGAGGCGGCACTGCAGCCCCGCCCGGGATGCTCGGCCGGTACCCGGTACCCGGCGGGATGCGGGATGAGGGACGCTGGCCCTGCTATCGGCTGTTGTCGTCACACATCGGCGGCCTCCGGGGCCGCACAAAGCCCTGGGTGCTTCACTATCGCTTGCTCAGAGATGCTGAGGTACCAGGATGTCACCCTGATTCTTAAGATTTTCTAAAGCCTTCTGAGTTTACATTCTGTTGGAGAACTTTCCCACACAATTTCTGTAAACAACATATTGTTTACAATCTTTTATGGGGGTGGAGAAACTTAATGTACTAGTAGTTTGTCCAATGTCTTTGGAGAGGTGGCCCATTCACTCTCCAATCCAATGTCACCTTTGGGATAGTATAAAGGTCAGAGTCAGAGAATAAACTTTCTTCTTTACCTTGCAAACAGCAGGTAGCTCGTGTCATGCTTTCACGTGTCCTATAGCGACATCAGGTACCATCAGTGTCACAGCCAGGGCGGTGTCAGGCGCTGTGACCATCGGACATCTGGTTGTACAAGGTGTCAGTCACTGTCACCATCGCACAGCAGGGCTGTACCAGCTGGTGGGTGCTGTTGCCTGCTCAGAGCTGTGTTAGGTACCAGATGCCATCATTGTCACACACGGGCTGCACCAATTACAGGGTACTGTCACCATCACAAACGTGGGGCTGTACTGGATGGTGGGTGCTGTCACCATCCCCTGCCCAGAGCTGTATCAGGTTCCAGGTGTTGTTGCTGTCACACACCCGGGGCTGTATGAGGTCCCAGGTGTCACCATCATTGCACACCCAGAAGTGTATGAGCCCTGTCTTAGCCCTGCTGGGGATTTTCAGGGCTAAGACAAGAAGCCACACACATCACACAACGTACAGTGGGAGGCCTTGAGCTCAGCCAAAATGATGCTCTGCTCTGCCCAGGTGGTCTGGGCAAGACTCATATACCCATAAAAGAACAAGATCTGTGGGTCTACAGAGGCCAGGCAGAGCTGCTGTGAAGCAGGTCTAGGTCAGATGTGCAAGATCCTTAAATATGATCAGGACAGAGCTCAGGAAGGTACCAGAGCAGTGTGGAATAGGGACAGGATTGTGCATGGAGATCCCTGGAGCCCATATCACATCCAGCACACTTGATAGTGAAGATTAAATAATGCTGGGGAATGAATGGCATGTTAATGTTTCAGTTTCTGTGGTCTCTGGCATGACTGCAGATATTATCATCAGTATTTATGGAACTGTATCATATCTTGGACCACTTTCAGGGCTGTTTTTCACAGAGCCAGAGGATGACATCCTCGGCGGGCGGCTGTACTGGGAAATTATATAAAATTGAAAACATACTAAATTGACTTCACAGACAGGGTAGGGTTTCAGATATCTGTCTTTCACATGTCCCATGAATCCCCCACTCTCCACAGCCCTTGCTCACATGGGCCTCTTTAGGTGGGAAACCTCACTACTGGCTTTAGAGGGACTTTCAAAGGACTGCAGAGCTGAGTCTGTGCTGGGTCACTCCTCAAAGCACAGCTTTTCCCATTGGACCTTCCCCTTCTCCCTGCAGGCAGCCTGGCTGCGGTGGCTGTGGCTGGGAGAGTGGCCACGCCAGGACCCTGCAGCGAGTTGTGTCCTACCTGTGTGACAGCCAGGATTGTCACCAGAGGCAGCGTGGGAGCTGTGGCTGGACCCATCAATCCCCATCCTTGGCCTCGAGCCGTGTCCTGGAGAGGGAGCCCAACTCCCGGCTCTGCCCACTGAATCCCTGGAAGTCTAATTGTTTCCTACTGTAAGAAAGTTCTAACTTTTTAATCCCAGATAGAAAAAGACCTGGATTTATTGTATCCTGGAGCTCTGTTGTTATAAAACATCTTTGTGTAGCTGCCTTTCTTATCAAGGAAGAATGAATGATGTTTTCTTCCCATCCGTTAGGCTTGGCTGATATTTTACTGCTAAGTGGAAGCATTAACCCCCTCACCTGCTCTTTTCTCTTACTTGAGAATTTATGTCACTGCTGTGACCTTGGGAGGGTTCTGCTGTAAGGAGCAGCTGCTTCAGTTTTTTCCAAGAGCCATCAGCTTTTGGGCATGGCCCTTGGGGACTTTAGTCTTGATTAATGGTTGTCCTTCAGCCACAAAATATGTCTGTGAAACTATTCTAGCCCTCCTCCTTCTTATCCTGCTTCTCTGATGGAAATCAGCACCTGCCCCAGGCCAAGTGAACTCTGGAGGGCCCCAGGGCAGCTCAGAGGTGCCCAGCTGCTGCTCTGGTTCCTCCTGAGCCTTGGGGAGGTTTTGCTGGCAGGTGCTTGAGATGTTTAGTGCAGCATCCCTGCTCTCCTCCTCCCCATCCCGCTGTGCCGGCTGCTGTGAGCAGTTGGAGGTGTCCCTGCCAGCAGAATTTCCTTGGGAAGCAATCAATTTTGTTATCTGTTGGAGTGCATGGGGAAGATTGAATCTCTGTGGGATGTTTTTCGAGCTTCTGGGAAAGGGGTTTGGGGTGGTGTGTCCGCAGCTGGCCTTGGGTAGTGCAGAAGAGCTGCCTGTGGAGAACCAGCCCCGAAGCACCGCTGCTCCATCCCTGCGAGCAGGGCCTCCCCCTCCTCTGCTCGGGGCTGGGCACAGCTCGTGGGAGGGATTTCTGACTGACAGCGAGGAAAGAGGCAAGAGAGCATGTGAGGGAAAGGAGCTGGACCTGGGAAAGGCAGGGGGAAGTTTTGTTACTCCCCTGAACCGAGGGAAGCCGCTCCGGTGCGTGTGTGTGCGGGAGTTCCTCCGGAGGAAGGTGCGGAGCTGCGGCAGGAGGATGCCTGCACCTCTGTGGATGGAGTGAAGGATCACCCTGCCTGCTTCGGGAAGAGCCCCTGGGAGGTGAGATTCTCCTGCCAGAAGAGCACCCCTCCTTCCTCCTTCTCCTTCCCCTCGCCGAGGGCTGGATTTCAAAGTGCCTTGGGAAGGGGATCGCAGCTCCGGAGCAGCTCAGCCCACATGGGGCTGCGCTGCTGGGCACAACGCAGGTCTTGCGAGCCCCCAGGTCCTCGAGCTTTGTCAGGAAGCAAATCCCAGAAGGAAAAATCACTTCAGTGCATTTCACTGCGAGCAAACGAGCATGAGAAGCCAGGTTTGGTTTGGGAGAAAATCCAGCTGCAACCTGCACTGTAATTTCCAACGGAGTGAAGAAACTCGCTGAGCGGAATTCGAGAGGGAGGAAGCATCCAGGAGCGATAAATCCGCTCTCCCCCTGCGAGGACTCCCCTGTGCTCCGATAACTTTGTCCTCTGCAAGGAGGGACACTGGCAAGCAGGGAGCAGGAGGCAGCAGGAGCCTGTGGGGAGGAGGAAGCGTGGAGCTGTGCTGGAGGAGACTGTGGGATTCCCGGGATAACCGCTGGAAGCACCTGGAGCCAGAGGAGCGGCTGCGATGGAGTTTCCTGCCGTGGCACTGTCACTCCTCGTGGCGCTGCGAATGTCTCCGCTGGCTGCTGGGAGCAAACTGCAGCCCCACATGTGAGTAGGAAGAAAGAGTTCCGGAGGGGTTTTGTCGGGCAGGGAATAGAAAAGCAGGAGCCAAATGCAGTGTTTTCAAATCAAGGGTGAAGCGAAGAGCAGAGAGTGAAGGGGCAGAGGGGAGCAAGCTGTTGTGGGTTTCTTTATTTACTATTAGATGTGCAGAAAAGGGAATAGAAAATTGAAAATGTGGATAGCCTTTTCTTGTAAGAGGGAACTCCTTGGTTTATCTGAAACTGTTGTCGGAATGGCAGAGATGATTCCTGTGTGAATACTTTGCCCTTTCTTCCAAGACCTGCTGCTTTTATTTCACTTCACGAATCTTTCTTATTCCACGTTCCTCCCTGCCCGCTGCTGTTACTCCAGCAGCACGTAGGCTGCTCTTTTTAATTACATTTTACAGTTACAGTTTGGTGTTAATCATTTGGCTGCTCTGGAAAACTTCCTTGCAAATTTGGCCTCCTGCCAGAAGATGGTCTCTCAGAGCCAGGGGATCACTGTAATTCCCTTTGTCCATGGAGCTGGTGTGGGGTGGGGTGCAGACTCCAAGCCGCCCTCCCCGAGGGGTTTCATTCTTTTAAAAAAAGCGTGTCCTTTAGAAGATAAAGGTTTTGGAATAAGTGGCTTTTTCTCCCCACGTTAGGGTTTTGTGCTCCTGCCCTGACAGTTACTTTCAGGATTTCTTGGACAGGGCACTGGAGCCCTGTGCCAGCACGCCGGGGTTGGAATTGAGCAGCTTGGAGAAGTCGGATGCCAGCTGTGACCTCTAAGCTTCACCACGTCCAAATTAGTTTCCCCCCCCGCCCTCTATTTTTTTAATAGAAAGTATCTCTAAGAAACTGTGGGTCGTGCTGGAAGCAGCAGAAGCAGCCCCAAATACCAAGTGGCTCATGGAGTCAAGGAGAAATGTCTCACTCTTCATCCTTAGTTAAACCCACTGACTTGTGCATGGAGAAAGAGTTAGGATTAGAAAAGAAACAAAGTACATTTCTTTGATTTATTGGAATTAGCCTCACAGCCCTTAGCACTGAATGAGCATGAAACCACCCCTGTGGCTGGTCGGCCTGGCACCGTTTCTTTTCCCTGCAGTGATTTAACTCATTGAGGAGGTGGATGCAGGGGGTTGCCCAAGCCCTTCCTGCCCTGCCAGCAGGAAATCCAGGCAGTGGGAGCACTGCACCCCTCGCAGCTGTGCCCCCTGTCTTGGTTTGAAAAGACAGGTGTCTGCTAAGGAAGGCAGGAGCTTTCCTTGAAATTAAAAAATGTAAACCCTTCCCTCCGAGTTGTTATAATTTTGAAAATAAAGGCTCTCAGGCAAAGATATGGGAATAGGAATTAATAGTTCTTTACTAGGAAAATTAAAATCCAAATGCAGTAGTACAAACAAAGAAAAAAAAATCTACTGACAGAGTTAGAATCTGACCTGAAATCTTGTGGGTCAGGGAGGTGGCTCAGCCCTCCTGCAGTGCCAGCTGTGCTTCTGCTGGAGCAGGATCCTGCACAAGGGGGGAGTTTTCCTCTGGAGCTCCAGGGCTGGGGGAGATGGGCCTGGGCTCCTCTGGGAATGCAGGGGGAAGAAAGCTGCTCCTCTGGGAATGCAGGGGGAAGGAAGCTGCTCCTCTGGGAATGCAGTGGGGAAGGAAGCTGCTCTTCTGGGAATGCAGTGGGAAGAAAGCTGCTCCTCTGGGAATGCAGTGGGGAAGGAAGCTGCTCCTCTGGGAATGCAGGGGCCAGAGGCTGTTGTGCTATTCCCAGGTCAGATTGTATCCAGGTAGGAATGCTTGGCTCCTCCCCTGGGCAGAGCATCTCCCAAGGGATGATGGAATTTTCTCAGCCATACAGGGACACTCATTGGCCATGAACAGAAGATAATTAATAATTAATGGCCCATGAACAGAAGAGATCTCCTGGAGGGAGGATTGGTTGTGGGAGAGATAAAGAAAAACTGCCCAATGAACAGAACTGCCCCACCTCTGACAGATGGCAACAGAATACACACCCAGCTAAAGCTGAGACCCCTCCTGGATCCCCTGGGTGCCCTGGGTCCCTCCCATCCCTGCCTTCCTGTGTTGCAGGCCCAACGTGTGCGCGGCGCAGGAGCTGGCGGTGCAGGGGCTGCGGCAGCCGTGCGTGCAGGCGCTGAGCCGCGCCGCCCGCGCGTGGCAGCAGGGCTGCGGGGAGCGCCGCTGGTGCCCGGCCCTCGAGCACAGGTAGGTGCTCTTCCCTCCGCCTCGGGCTGCTCCCGGGACAAACGGAAAGGTGGAGACTTCCACAGATACTTGCAAGACGTTAAGGATTTTTCTTAGAAGAGTCTTACTGAAATATGGGACTATAAAGTTGTATTTTTTTTTTCTTAACACTGTGAGGAAAGAGGGATGATTCCAAAGCATTAGCCTCTTATTATCATCAGCTTAAAAATTTTTTTCTTCAACATCCTACTACATCCAGAAGGTGCTCCTCAATTTACCTTTTCAGTTCCAACCATCAAGAGAAGAAAACCACTACAAAGGTATCACTAAACAGTTTTACCACAAGAGATGAAAAACTCACCTACTATTTGTCAATATTTTGTAACCAGAGCTTTGTCTCCAACCCAACAAAAACACCCACAGTTAAAAATTTTCTACTATACAGATAACTTACTCATTACAACACCAACTCAAAAAGAAAGTGAACAAACTCAGAGTAGTGTTATTACTAAAGTTCAGAATGCCACGATTGGAATTGAGCAGCATGGAGGAGTCAGATGCTAGCTGTGACCTCTAAGCTTCACCACATCCAAATGAGTAATTTTAATTTTTTTAATACAAAGTCTTTCTTTAATATGTATCTCTTTTATAGAAAGTATCTCTGTGAGAAAAGAAAAGATAGAAACTTCCACAGACACAGGAGGGTTTGATTTGCAGCCTTGGAAGAAGGCAAAAATAAAGTGCACAGACATTAAACAGAAAAATCATAAACTTATGTTTCTATAGTTATAAATAAGAATATGCCTTAAGTGAGAAACTGTATTGATAAGATGTTGAAGGGGTTATAACATAGGGGTGTAACTATAGAGTAAGCTAAGAGTTTAGATGTTGTAACAGAAGCATCTGTGTGTATGTGTAATGGATAAAAGTATCCAGAGTGCAGTAGAAATAAGTAAAGATAAGATAAAGTAAGAGAAGTAAAAATAAGTTTAAAAAGCAAAATAAACTTAGTGACAACTGTCCATTAGGTTAAAAAGTTCTGTATTGTCTTGTAAGGAAGAACTTGTGACTACTTTGAGCTATGGCTGACTGCTCGCTCCTTTGAAATCTCATGGCCTCTGAGACTGATGTTTATCTGAACAATGAATCGCTCTTAGCCCAACTGTGGTCCCATCCCTTCAATTAAAGCAGCAATAATAATATAGGAGGAAAAGTGATTCCCACTCCTCAGCAGCAGCAGGAACGTGAGTTTGGGATGGGGACAGCCACCTGTGCACCCATCCTGCTCCCCTGGCTCTGCTCTGGAATGGGAAACAGCCAGGGGAATGCCTTGGTGCCCTCCAAGGAGTCTCAGTGATGAGCCAGCATGGCTGGGGCTCATGTGGATGTCCCACAGCTCTCAAGGGAAACAGGAGGAAGCACCTTGGAGGAAAGCCTTGGTGCTGGAAATTAACTGGCCAGCGGGAGGAGTTTGAAGCTAGGTGATCTTTAAGGTCCCTTCCAACACAAACTGGTCTGTGATTCTGTGACTCTGTGGTTCTATGTTTCCATGATTTTGTGATCAGGGGACAGAGCAGTTCTTTTACAGGGTGATATGAACAATCCCATGAGCAGAGATGTGGCCCTGACCCCACAAACTGCCAGTAAGGAGTAGAGCTACCCCACAGGATATTTTTCTTGGCTAAAAGCAGGAGACCACAAGAGATTGACAAACCCTTTGGGCATTTTGCTGGAGGGGCTTCTTGCTCAACCTGGTATTTCTGTGACACTCAAAGCTGGGAAGGAATTCCCAAAGAGAAGGTCTGTCCATTGTTCTCATTGTGAAGAAGCTTTGTCCTTGTGGTGGGCTGTTTCCCATCTTCAGACAATGTATGACATCTGTTTCCTATGATCCAGCCACGTTAATAGAATGACTTATTCTCATCATGTGCACTATTCCTGTATCTTCACATGTCTCCTCAAAGCCTCTCAGTGCCTCTTGTCTGACAGAGCTGATGGCAGGAGCTGGGCCCAAGTCAGGGTTACTGGCTAAAATAACAGCAAATGTGGTCGTGGTGCAGGACCACCTGTGAGGGTGGTCAGCAGGATTTGCTGCAGGGCCCTTTCACTCCCTGAGCTGGACCATGCTCAGGCCACGTCAGAAGAGCTTGAGCTGGGCTTGCAGAGGTGAGCACAGAGTTGGAACATACCCTGAGTGTTTGTCCCCCTAATCACAGCACCCCTCGAGTTCAGCTGGCCAGAGATGGGAGCCTGGGCAGGGGGCCCTGCAGAAGGAGGGCTCTGAACACGTGTTACAGCACAAAAAAGAACTTTTCATACCTATGCAGCAGCCAAACTACAATATGCCCAAGCTGCTTCCACCCTCCACCTGCTCTTCCGGCCTCATTAGGGAGTTACAAGGCTTTGCAGAATAAAAATGATAGTTGTCATTTCAAAGAAACATCTTGGACTCAAGACAGCTTTTAAGTCCTGACTATAGGAATTCCTCCTAACCTGTAATTGCTGGTAATTACCCTGGTGATGAGATCTGTGTCCTGGTAACAAAGGAGCAGAGTCTGACTCTTGGCTGTGTTTTCAGGGAAGGCTTTGAAAGGATGGATGCCCTGTCTGCTTCCACTTCAAAGGCTGGGAGTTCTTCAGCCTCAGCAGTCCCTTCAGCTCCTTAAAGGATGAGTTTGACATCACAAATCAAGGGACTGAAGTGAAATAACTTTCTGTTCTGCTTCATTACAAATATCAGAACAACCCAGTGCTAAAACTGACCCCGACAGAAGCACAGAGGGGAAGCCACTGAGGGATTCCACCCCAGGAGTTGTGAAATCCAGACAGGGAAAGGACTATCAGGAGAACATTCCTCGGGCAAGGTTTTGTCCCAGATCTCCTCTCTCTAAACTTCTGGGAGTTCCCATTGCAGCAAGCTTTTCCAGGAGCTGGGAGCTGCCAAGTTCCCTTGTGCCGGGCAGCTGAGGCAGCGGAGCGCGCGGTGTCAGCGCTCGCAGGGATGCTGGAGCTGCTCCAGCTGGACCTGCCTCTGGCAGTGTGGGGCTCAGGAAGTGTATTCACAGCTCCAGGATCTGACCTGCAGTTGGCCTCAGTGCCTTTGAGCTCCTGGAGGTGACTGGGAAAAGCAGCATCTGCTCAGCTGGAGCATCCTCAGGCTGCTCTGCTCTGGGTTCCTGGTGGAGGGATGGGTTTGTGCAGCTTCCCAGGGAGTACTGACAGCAGGTAGCTTTGCTCAGCCCTCCATAACCAAGCTTGAATGTATCACAGTGCTATCCCAGAGGGGCTGGAAGGGGATTTTCCAGCAGTAGGACACAGCAGGATTCCCTGGTTTCCCTTAGTTCTGGCTCATTCCCCATTTTCTGTACCAGGGATTCCTTAAAACACAAAAGAAAAGAGAAACATTAAAGATAAAGTATCTCCTGTGTGGTTCTTTCCCGTCTGCAGCACCCATATACCCAGAGGCACTGGGGCTGTCGCAATATTTGCCTGTCCTTCAGAACTGCCTGAAGGGTCTGGAGTCTCTGACAGCTGCCCAGGAGGGTGGGACGAGGCTGCTCAGGGCACTGCTGGGGCACAAGGAGCCCTGAGCTGTCCTACATCACTATTTCAAGCTTTTCCTCCCCATCCCTGAGCCTCTTTGTCATGTTCACACCACCCTGCATCCACCATCTCCCCTTCTCCTTCCTTCTGGGCTGGAGAAAGCTCCTGGTACCACGAGCATCCCGGTGGGCTGGAGCCTGGTGCCTGTGAATTGCTTTCTCAGCTGCTTCTGGAACACAACCATTTCCTTCATCATTTGTTAACAGCTCATAGAAAACAACAACAAAAAAATTGCTATCTGCTTTTATTTTTCTCAGCTGTGCTTCCACGTGCTGGTTGGCACGCAGGAGTCGCTGAAGGTTTCCTTCCCGGGGATTAACAGTTCACTGTTATTTGGACTTTTTTTTTTGTAGGAACATCCAGACAAAATCAAACAAGTCGACTGAGTTAGGATAAACATTTTCAGTGGACATGCACAACACATCTGCCGTGCCAAATATTTGTTGTTGTTTGCCTGATTCGCTTTGGTGGAGCAGTTTCATGTTCTGCCAACGGAGCTTTTTAAAAATCGCCTTCAGAAGTATTATCTGTGTTTCAATTCTCACAAACACACAACACCACATTTCCGGGGAAAAAAATGTGTCGCTTTTATTTATTTACGCTTCAGATCAGTCCCTGCTTTGCTCCCCCAGCTCCCACCCTGGAGGGAACCATGGGGAGGAGTTAAAGGGACCCTCAGTGTTCCCTGCCAAGCTGTGGAGCCTTGCTGTGTCCAGCACAACTCTTGGAGTAGTTTGGTGTTGCCATCAGGATTATTTTGATTTTTTAGCTCACCAGCCCCTTAGAAACACCTGCTTCTGCTCACTAAGACAGAAACACCTGCTCTTAAAATTTACATTTCCTTTGTGAGCAAGTAGTGTAAGGAAGGAGCATAGAGCTGTAAATAGTCTAAAAAAGGAGAAAAAAACAATCTGGGGTGTTATGAAGACCTGGGTGTTGTCTCTTGTGTTTCTGATTAGAGTAAATTAGGAATATTTTCTTAGCATCAGTGATCACTGACAGGCCATGTGGAAAACAATGGCAGCACATTTGCAAACCCAGTTCCTCATTTTATTTGCACCCATGGCTACAAATTCTGTTCTTCCCGGTTTCCCTGCCCTGCAGGAGCTGACTTGGGCTGTGGTTTTGTGTTTCAGGGTTGTGTATTACACGGGCTACAGGCAGGTGTACCAGCTGAGGTCCCAGACCACCTACAGGTGCTGCCCAGGATGGTCCCAGCTCCCAGGAGATGCTGGCTGCCTGCACAGTAAGTGTCGTTCTACTCTGCTCAACTTCCTTGGTTTTGGCTCATTTCAAATCCTGTGCCTGCAGAAAATGCTCTAAAAATGTCTTTAAATGTCTTTAAAAATGTGCTTAAAAATAGCTGTCATGAGTTTTTACTAGTTTTTTTTTCCCAAGGGGAAAAAAAAAAAAAAAAAAAAAAACAAAATAACAATAGTAATAACAATAGTAATAAAATTAGTATTATTATTGCCATTATTATTATTATTGTTATTATTATTATTTCCTTGCATCAGAAGGATGCTGCTCTGGCTTCCTGGGCAGCATGGTGCAGTGCTTTCCATTTCTGGAGAATTTCTACATTCAGTGTCCCAGCCATTCATCCACTTGCCAAATGCTACAAAATGTTTAAAATCAAGGCCAAATTGATGTTTCCAATTGTGCCACTGGCAGAAGCTCTGGAAACTCCTCTGAGAAGGTTTATCAGGGGCTGGGTTTGTTATTTTGAGACTGGCTGAGCTGGAGCTGTCCCTGTGAGAGGTTTGGGATCTCTGCAGCCACCCTTGGCCAGCTCCCTCCTGTATGCAGCGGGTGTGATTTATTGAAAAAATATGGATATTGATCTAGTACCGATATCCAACTGTGACAGACAAAAACTCTCTTAACAGTTTAAAGTTAGAAAGTGTGTGTTGACTGTGTGTGGGATCGCTCCCAAATCCACACCGCAGCTTCCAGGTGATTACAGAACCCTTTTATCCATACAAGTATTGAATACCCAAAATACAAATACATATTCATGGTACATCCCATTCCTTGCTTTGTATGCTAATCACTCCAAAAGCCATTCAGCATGCAGTAGTTTGTTCCCTGAAATGGGTTGGTGTCCCTTTCATGGGGAGGGGTCCCAAAATGAGGAAGTCAATGAAATCTTCCTCCTTCTGACCTTTCTACCCTTTCAATGCAAATATGACAAATGAACTCTAGGTAGAATTCCCATTCCTTGTCTTCAATTGGTTTCAGAACAGAGGAGGCCCACAATTGTCTTATGTTCCTAAAAGTTATTTGTCAGTTTGTATATTCTTCATTATAAACCCAGCTAACTAAACATTGTGCTGACAAGCAATCAATTATTAGTTAACTACTAACTCCTTACTTCATCAAGGCCTCATCATTTATTATTATTATTTTAATTAACTCTAGTAAGGCTTATTTCTAACTAAAATCTTAGCTCCTCTAAAATCTCTAAATTCCTTGAAGTTTACGTTTCAGGTGAGCTGGGCTCAGGGTGGGGATTCTGCAGTGTCAGCAGAGGAGGGGACACACAGCCACAAGGGGAGGGTGGCACTGGCCAGGTCTGGAGTGGAGACCCAGAACTCGAGGCTTTGGGATTCTGTGGCTGCATTCCTGCTCTCCTCCAGTGCAATTCCCTGCCAGACAGGCACGGGAGCGTGTCCTCCCCAGCTGTGGGGGAAGCTGCGAGATGCATTCAGGTTTGCACATGATGGGGATGTGCAAATTTCAGCCTATGAGATGATTTTGTGCTGTTGTTGCAGAAGACAGAGGCAGCTTTATCCCTGTGGGCCCCACATTCCCTATTTCCCTCCAGATTCTCTGTCTGACACAGGAGGCAGCTGCTGTGTCACTCCCTAAACCCTACAGCCACGTCCAGCTGGGGAAACATTTAACTGGGAACTACTTCTGAGGTGTTGAGAGCAAGGAAAAACCTCTTGAATGGAACCAAACTTATGTGCAGAACCAAATGTTACCTTGTGCAGAGCCCTGCACTCTCCTTGTGCTGCGGGATCAATTCCCTGCCTCAGTGCCTGATTCTCTTCTGATTTAGACCTTGGAGGTGCTCTCCTCCTTCCCCACAGAAAAGCAGCTTTGGATTTTAGTGATAGGCAGAGAACCAGCAGAGCATTTTGGGGAAATGATTGCCCTGCCATCAGGGGGATCAGAGGCTGCTCCTTGTGGAGCTGCTTGCCTTTTGTTCTGTGCAGAGCCTGTCTGTGCCTTCCCTGGGCTTTGATGCTTGTAGCAAAGGTTTTTTTTTTTGTTGTTTTTTTTTTTTTTAAACAAAAAGGGATTAAAAGGTGTGTCAAACAACCAGTCTTTATTCTTCCTATTCCAAGCTGTGGCACAGGAGAGCAACCCACTGGGGAGAGGAAGCTCCACGGGTGCCTCGTAACCCTGTCAGTGAGCAGATAATAACCTCAGCTGAACTCAGAAAAGCACCTTCTGTAATGAGTTTTCCTGCCAAGGAAATGAGTAATTCTATGCAGGAAGGAAGCAGAGAAAAGGAAATAGAGCTGCTCAGGGCACGCTCTGAACTCATCACTGAGGCTGGGAATGGTCCTCAGGGGCTGCTCACTGCAGGCTTGGGCTGGAGTGGAGAAGAGAGGAACAAAAGCAGAGTGACACCAGCCCAAAAACTCCTGCAGGAATTGCTGCTGAGCTGCTGGGGAGGTTGAGGTGGATCATGACCTGGAGATGGTGAGCTCTGTCCCCACTGAGCCCTTCCAACCCAATTGGATACCAACCAATTCACACCCAGGACATGCTGTAACCTCATTTCTGGGACAGAAAAATAGGTATTTATGTACCTCAAGTGCTACAGGCACAACAGGGAGCTAATCTCTGCTGGCCCTCAGCACAGGCAGGGGCACTTCCAGGGGCAGAAAATAAAATGACATTGCTCTGTGGATCATCTTCTGAGCCCCTGAGAGCAGCAGGAGAGCAGCCAGCAGGCTAGGGCTGAGGTGGGAATTGTGCTCTCTGTTTCCAGACCCACACAGGCAGCAGCTGGAGGAGCACCCCACGGGCAAATGGGACAGCCAGGGGGTGTGTGCTGATCTCTGCACTGTCCTGGGCTGTTGGGTTGTTCCCAGCTTTACAGGGTAACTGAGAGGCATTTTCAAATATTTTATTTCTATTTTCACCCTGGGGAACATGCCTGGGCTCTGTAACTAAACCCTCATCCCGACGAGCTCCAGGCTGTGGCTTTGCAGGGCTGTGATGGCTTTTCCTGCTGCTGGCTTTGGCCTCAGCACCAGTGTAGGCAGGTCTGGGAGGGAATTGTCAGTGACCATCAGTGAGGTGCTGGGGCAGGGGCACACGGCCAGGCTGCTGTTTATGGATGCTGGAGGTTTCCCTGCTTGGGGTCAGGCTGTGCTCGCTGCTGTGGCTCTGCTGAATGCCACAGAGCTGTGCCAGAACATGTCAGAGGGATTTGTGGCCTTTCCTATCTGCCTCCAGAGATCATTGATCGTGTTCCAGGAGCACAGAGCAGGGGAAGGGCAGCTCTGCTGACAGTTTAATTAGAGCTGTTGTGCAGTGGAATCTCTCCAGTGAGGACATCTTGCTCTCCCTTGGGGACTGGCATCTCCTCACTGCAGGGTTCTGTTTGCTCTTTGCTGGTCATCATTTCTCCTTAAAAATAAAAAAGAACCAGTGTGGGAATCAGAAAAACAGAAACTTCCACAGACACTGAAGGGTTGGATTTGCAGCCTTGGAAGAAGCTTGGAATGATGTGAAAATACAATACACAGACTTTAGGCAAAAAAATAATAAATTTATGTTTTATAGTTGTAGGAAAGAATATGCCTTAAGAAAGTGAGAAGCTGTATTGGGTAAAACAGTGAAGGGTTTATAATGGAAGGGTGTGGTTGTATGGAATAAACTAAAAGTTTAGAAGTTTTAATAGAAGCATATGTGTTCAAGTGAGACAGAAGCCATTGGACGAAAGTACCCACAGTACAGCAGAATTAAGTAAAGGTGATGGGTTAGGGAAGCAAAATAAATTTTGTGGCAACTGTCTATTGGGTTAGAAAATTCTATATTGTCTTGAAACAAAGAATTTGTGACTACTCTTGAGCTATGGCCGAATGTTTGCTGCTCTAAAATCTCATAGCCTCTGAGACTGATGTTTATCTGAGCAATTAATGGTTCTTAGCCTGAAAATAGTCCCATCCCTTCATTGCTAAAGGTGACAGTGACACCCCAGCCCATGTGAGGGGACATTTTCAGCACTGCAGGCTCGTGTGGAACCAGCCAAGGCCCTTTGCCACCTCCTTGTTTGAAATGGTGGCACTGTCTGACACTGATGGTGATCCTGAGCACTGCTATGACACGCGAGGTCCCAGCACTCTGTCCCAGGGCAGGAGAGTTGTTTGGGCTCTCGGAGCTGTCCTGGTGCCTGTTGCAGCCTCTGCTCTGGGGGTGCTCACTGTCAGCATAGCTTGGAGGCTGTCTGAAGCAAAACTGGGCTGTCCTCCCCTTCCTCACGTGCAGATTTGTGTCTCTGAGCTCTTACAGGTGAAGAAATGTCCTCACTAAACAGCTGTGGGGACAGTACTGGCAGGCTGTGGGCTCTGCTAGGAGCAAATAGCTCAGAAAGAGATGGAAAATTACATAGAAACAGGGACCTCACCAGTCTCACAGAATATTTGGATTTGTTCCTTGTGGGAATCCAGGGCTTCCCTCTGGCTGCCCTGGCAGGCCTGGGACCCTGGCAGGGGTCAGGAACCCCCCTGGACAGAGCCCCCAGAGACACTGCCTGTGATCTCTGACCATGGAAAAGAGTTTTCAGTCTTACAGGATCAATTACAGGCTCCGACTGTTTGATATAGGTAATAATTAAGTGTGGCATGGGTGCAAAAGTAAAATTTTAAGTTTCTAATTTAAGGGTTCAAAGGGAACAAAATGGAGGAAATTGGGTGTGCCTTGTCCTTTTTCTCCTTCTTCATGCCCTCCATGTTTCACAATAGTATTAGCATTTTTCTATTGGTTTAAGCTGGGGACACACTATTCAACGTAGAAGATAGATATTAGAACATTATTATAAATATAGCACACGTAATTTCTAGTATATAATGTTTGTAACATCCCACTGAGGGCAGAGCCCCACACGCTGCCCTGCAGGACAGAGCTGGGCAGGGCAGCAGAACATGTTAGAGATAAACAGAATAAACAACCTTAAAAACAACACAGACAAATTATGGCTTCTCCTTTAACAACAAAGCAAAA